TGGACTGTATACTCTTCTGTCACCCTTATTTTTATAAAAACTATTAAGAACTAAATACTATTAGTAAGAAATTTCAGCAGGATGTAATAATCATATCGTCAAAACATTCACGTGAAATGCTCCTCAGTTTTGCGTAACACCTATGTCGCGAATTTATAAACTTGCTTTTGACACCGACACTCGCAATGGCGTCCGGTGACGCAAAATGTACCACTTTAATAGGGTTGTCATTAAAACAAAACTATACAAATAAAAATATTTTATTTCTTTATTTATTAAAATATAAGATATTTAAGTTACAAAATGTAATATAAAGAAATTTTAATAAAATCTATCGTGTTAATAAGGGGATAATTGAAAGTGCATAGTGCTCAAGTCCAAGTTACATACCCTTACTCCGACTTACACCGACCGTAGCTAAAAATTTAATCCTAATTTTGGCAACACTAAAATCTTTTAAATAACAAATATTGTAGGAATAATGTATTTTTTAAAATAAATGACACCTACGCCCAGTTTTGGTACATGTGAGGTGTTAGTTTAAATCATAAGAAAATAAAAATCACATTGACGCTAAATATTCAGATTTGTGTATAATAAGTAAAATTGTTCCTTGGTCGGTCGATACACTAAATGATCTGCATATCAAGCCAGTAGAATTACGTTGTTATATTTGGGTATTTGTGAGAAAGTGGTTATTACCCAGTCGAAACCATTCGACTGGGTCTACGTAAAACGAGTTACCAAAGCTTCGCATTTTCATTTATCGTGCCTATGACATCTGTAAAATTATTCTTTTGAAGTAATAAATAGTCATCCGTAATGTTATTTTTCTCACATGTCGCCAAAATAAAATGGTCATAATGATGTCGAAGCTGTACATAACTTCGACATCGTTATGAATTCGAGAAGGCTGAGACGACTGGTTGATGCGAATACGACATAATCCGTCCTTTTCTCCATAATGCGGATAGCTACGTGAAGCCATTTTCCCGTGTACAATAAAAAGGTGCGTGTGAAAAATGACAATGCGACGCAATGCAACCTACCTATGTCAACTAACAAAAATAACTACGGGAAAGCGACGGAAAGTGACATACCGATCAACCTTAAGCTAATGTCGTAAAATGGTCAATTCGACAACGTATGCCACGTGAAGTTATAGCTACTTTATGTATTTTTCTTAATGTGTTGCGTTTGTCGCTCACGTTGGAAACGTACAAAAAAATTTGCTCATATTCAAAGTTTTTAAGAACTTTTAATTTGGAAAGATACTTAAATTAGCACTTTTATTTACGCGAACACTACACATTTATACATTATTATATTATGTATAGCACATTTATTTCCCTGCGTTTTAGGTGATTTGCAGCACAAATGGTCACGGGGGAATTGAGGTGATTGATGTCCTGATGTCAACTATTTGGTAGGTAGGAAACGTCGGGAATTCAAAATAAGTAAATTAAACGCGATGAAATCTGTAAAATGGGTTTATTAAAATTTATAATTATTAAACTAATACTATTTTAATCAAATTTGTTAACTGATGAACAACCCTATTAAACAATTAGTCATCCAATCCACCAGACAGTTTTTTCACATAGGATGCAGTCAATGTCAATTACAGAATGAAATGGTATGCTATTGTGTTGAAGACTGGCATTGATTTATTAAAAATTCTTAAAATTGAAATACGAATATCTTTATTTGTAAAAAATAGAATTGTTACGGACATGATATTTCGAAGCTGGAGATATTGAAGCTAGGGATGTTATGTTAAAAATTGTACTATCAGTTTTGATGCAGATTTGAAATCATTTCGAATATCCGATTGTTCTGACATGATTATAACTAGACTTGTAACTTATATTCGGCCTATTCATCTACTTTTGTCCTATTCGGTCCAATACCGAATATCAAGGTACTTTTCGGCTGAACACTTAATTAAGATGGTTTGTTGTAGTCAGATAATTCGTAAAATTAATATATTGATTTATTTTAAATATTGATTTCTTGTAACAATTAAAGTGGTCATAGGTATATAATCAACTTCCTTCTAACTAAAAAACTATCAAATAAATGTCTATGCACTTGAATTGTCGTAATTAAAATTGAGAAGTGGGAGATAATGATGCAGAAAGACATTTTTTTCTTTATTTTCAGGCAGTAGTTTACTCCTTTTCTTTTTGTAGGCGACTTCCTTTCTGGTCGAATGTTTTTGCCTAATATTCGGCTATTCGGCCGGGAAGCCCGGAGAATATTCGGTATTCGACTATTATAATGGCCAAATATAGTATTCGTTGCAAGTCTTATTTATAACCGTTCACCAGCATTTACGTGTATAACTTACGCTGTTAATTTATTATTTACTACTTCGCGTCTCCTTTAAGTGTTTTTTATTGATTATTTATAGAGGTGTAAAAGTAACGAAAAAAAGCGTACCCGTATGTATTCGTTACTTTAACAATTAGTATTCGTTACTATCGTATCGTTAAGTTACTCGTTACTTCTGATACCTCACAACATGTTATGTTAGAACATCGAATCGAGTCGTATTGCGTACGCGTACAGTATGACGTCGCGGCGTATTTTGAACCAGACTTGTGTTTAAGTTATTCTAAATTTAGTTTAATTTAAGATAAAAACAAAAAAAAGCGTGAAAATACGCGATAATAAAAAACAAAAACATACATATTTCTAATTTGTAAAAAAATCTTTCTTATCTTCTTATGTTCCAATCTAAAACTTCGTGTACACACACAATACCTTCAATAAGCAGTAAAAGACTTGGACGACGAATTTCCAAATTATACTTTACTTAATAAAAAAAACATTTATAACGTACGTTTTTAAATTCACCGAATAAGTGTGCGCATGCGTAAAACATACCATCAGCAAATGTTACAATACACGCATCACGTATCATCGATACTTGCATGAACTGAAACAGTGTAGGTACCCATAGCACATGAGTAAAGAAACCGACCCATAGTCCGAAAAATGCGAGTAACGAAAGACATTCATGTGTAACGTTTCGTTACTCGGTACTAGATGGCGCACCCGTTACTCAGTACCGAATACATAAGGTTTGCTACAGCTTTAATTATTATTTATTACCAGACATTGAAATTAAGCCGATAAATTTATTTCGTTTTAATTTATTATAGGAAAATTATTTGTAACCGATATATTTCTGATATTAATATTTTGTGTGCGATTTGCGGAACTCCGTAAAGAAATTTGTAATAAAATTTGCATACGTTTTAAATTGACAAGTGCAATTAGCCTAAAATTTATTTAACATGTAAGTAAATGAATTATCTAATCTATACAAATAAATAAAATTTGAGTGTCTGTTTCTAACATCAAAATAACAGCTTTTTACTAAATGTTTAAATGGTTTCAAAAAAAACTTTAACACCATAGGCCACATACATACCCTTCGGCAAACTGTACACAAGGCTGTGAAGAGAACAATCTGCCACTTTGCTTTGCGTATATGTTCTATGAGAAAGACTTTGATTCCGTCGAAATTTGGACGGTGCTACAGCCCTATCAGCGGAGTCAAGTTGACTGTCAGTATATCGACGTGCTGAAGTGTTTGTACAGTAGGGCTACGATGGCTCTCTGAGTACAGAACCAGAGTATGAAACCTATCCAATTGCATAGAGGTGGAAGTCAGGGCGACGTAATATCCCCGAAACTCTTCACTACTACATTAGAAGACATTTTTTAAGCTACTGGACTGGAAATGATACGGTATTAACGTCAATGGCGAGTACATCACTAACCTTCGATTTGCCGATGATATAGTCCTTATGGCGGAATTGCTGGAGGACTAAGCACTATGCTCAATGACCTCAACAGTGTCTCCCAACGGATAGGTGTTAAGACGAAAATGGACAAAACATCGTGTGTAACGTCCATGTGATACTTATACCGGTAGTTATTGGTAGAACTAAGCTCGAGGTTGTTGACGAGTATGTTTACCTGGGACAAATAGTCAGGCTAGGTAAGCCTAACGACGAGGTCAATCGACGAATTCAACTCGGCTGGGCAGCGTTCGGGAGATTACGACACATCTTTTCTTCAGGCATACCTCAAAACTTTAAAACAAGATTGTACAACCAGTGCGTGTTCCCAGCGAAAATCTGAGACTTGGTCGTTTACTGCTGATCGTCTGACGAAGCTCATGATCGCTCAGCGAGCCATGGAGAGGGCTATGCTTGGGGATTCTCTACGTGATAGATGGAGGACGACCTGATAAGACATGCAGAAAGTCGATGGATACAGGTAGCTCAGGACTGCGCTCGGGAGCCCTATGTTCAGCAGAGTACTTATGAAGGGTTGTAATGATGAATGATGAATATTTAAATATCACCACTGTGTTAGTGGTCGCGTAAGAATATTTACTACTCCATATCGTCCCATAGGTGTTGTTAGCGGCGACAGAGAAAAACAAACCACGAGATGGACAGCAGCGACTTCCTCATAATAACCAGAAAATAAAAGTGCGGCCACTATGGCAAAATCCCCCTATGAGAAAATCTATGGGAAGGCCGATGTTCAGCAGTGGACTTTAATAGACTTTAATGATGATTATGACGGTAATGAATATTTAACTAATAAAGTTTATTAAATCATTTTCAAGAAACTTTATCCTTTTTAAATCGCAGCTTAATGTAGTTGTGTATTATATGGTAGATGTAGAGAACCGAGGATTCTTTTTTCTAGTAACCAGACAATCCATCTTATTTTTCAGGGGTGGCACTGTATCCGCATTTTACAACTTAATAGAAAATAGATATAGGATTCTTCTCATCTCATTTCTCATCATCAGGGGAACTGTGTCATGGGTTTTAACCCTTATTCTATATTCAATAAATCGCATATCTTGCCTTACACTTTTATCTCTTGTGTTATGTTCGTACCTTATCAACGTGAATAACGATTGTTTTAAGTCAGATTATCATAATGATTTCCGGTATGTATTGTTACAGATATGAAGCGAGACAACCGTTCAGCGTGACAGAGTTTATGGAACCAAACAAAGTACTCCGTGGTTATTTTGGGATGATGAAGGTTTGTTTTGGAATTGTTTGGATGTAGGTGTATATTCGGTCATGCCGGTAGTGGCTAGTGACGGCATAAGGGAATCAAATACCTCATATCATGCCGTGCCGTGGTAGAGAGTAGTAGAGCTGTGGTAGCTCAGATGGTCGCTGTAAATTTCACAGTACGCGAGCAAACCGGGTTCGAACCCCGCCGGCACCAATGAAATTGTTAATTGCAATTTCAAGTGTTGATTTACCACGTGCTCGGCGGTGAAGGAAAATATCGTGAGGAAATCTGCATATCTGAGGAATAAGAAAAAAATATATCGAAGACGTGAAGTTCGCCAACACGCATCGGGGCAGCGCGGCGGACACTTTCTTGCCTTAAAACTCTCTCAGAAATGAGAGGAGGCCTGTGCAGTGGGACGTATATAGGCTGTAACTTTACTTTTTACTTTTTATGCCGTGCGTGTCGTAAGAGACGACAAAGGAAAATTAAACAAAGAAGATGGGCAGCAGCATCTTCTTAATAATACTTCAAAATAATATAAAACTGTGTTTTTTTCTTTTATAGGATAGAATGACAAACGAGCACATAGTCCACCTAATGGTAAGTTGTTGCTGTGACCCATAGACATCTACATCTATCCTCAATAAAGAATCAAAATACAAATGCGTTGTCACTCGTGAGGACTAAGATGGAATGCATCTTTTCCAGTAAAAAGGGTCTCCGGTTAGCTACTCTCATCATACGAAACACAGCAGTGTTAAGCTTCTATTTTACGCTGGTATTCTGTGAGAGCGTGGTCCTTCCCCGATCGAGCCAACCCATTCGTGTTACAACTATACTACTAACATAGCTGCAGCATGGTTCTACCTCGTATAAAAACCGCAAACCCGCTTGCAAATTATCGCGACAGTGGTAAATATCAAACCTAGGAGGCAATTTATGGCGGAGGCCTATGTTCAAAAGTGGACATTTGATACGCTGTAATGGAACGACTGGATATATGGATTCCGTACAGAGAAATACTTATTTCTCGCTCTAGAAATTTCTTTGGTATTGTGGAGAACTTACACGCACTTAAAATATTTATTTGTAGGCCATACTAATACGTTTATCGTGCGGGAATTGAACATGTGATCAACTAAACCCTCAGACTTTCCGCTATCGAACCGTCAAATGATAAAAATGGTTACTAAGTTTTTTGTAAATATTTTATCTGTGTAAAAGTCGACTGAGGAAAATTTAAACCGTAAAATCTTGTGGCCTTCAAAGATGGAGAGTAATGCGATGTATTACTATATTTCGTTTTCTTTCCTGCACGACACATTTCTTAAAATAATTACTAGTTTTTTTTTCGTGTTCTGGAAGCATCAGAACGTCTGGACCACTGTAGATATTTTGAGCATAGTTTGAGTTATACTAAACTTTGGTAGCTGTTTTTTTTTTAATAAACTATCGTCTGATATTGATCTTGCTAAAAAGAAAAAAATATGCAAAGAAAATTTTCTTTAATTTCACTTATAATTTTAAACTGTAACAAAATTTTGTTCCCAAAAACATTTTCCTAGATATTTTATACAGCATATATGATTGAACTCCAACTTTAAAAGGGGTTGTTTGATTCATATTATGTCAGTAAGACATAACAAGTGGGATGCGGGAAGTAAAGACTGTGTAAGATCCGCCGAAGGAGACGGAGTTATAGCCGAAATAAGAATTTTTAATTTTTTGGTTTTTGGCCATTTTGCAAGGAGTGTAATGAGAACTTTTTGCCCCTATTCAACCATGACCCCCATGACATCCTCTACATTACAGGCTATTCAAACTGACTAGGCCCAAAGTTCGAGTCACCCCCCAACTCATTTCTAGTCTTTACTTCGCTACTTCCAACAATTACTTCCAATAAATCAAGTAAAAGCCTATTGAATAAAAAAATTACTACTCTCTGTCGCCCCTTACTACACCCACGGTACGGTATGAGTATGAGGTAGTGGATATTAATAAAATTATTCATTGTCTAGGTGACTGTCGAAGTGTGAGAACATGTCACATTCAGCGCTGGGGCTGGGCGGGGAGCGGCGCTATTCGGTGCCGTCGAACCCCCTCCTTCACGACCCTCGCCACATGCACTCCGAGGACCTGCACGCCTGGTCTATATATAGGTATTTATTTTTATTTTTCATTATTATACAAAACAGGCTTTACTGTTTCGGCGAAAAACTTATGAAAACATCTGTCTAAAACCTTATTGAAGTTTGAACCTAAGACCTCTTAGCTAGAAGCTCTCTTAGCGGCGGAGCGCTGCAGCGCGTACATCTCCTTACTCACTTACAGTTGTTTTACAGACATACATGCTAATGATGAATAAAGAATATAAAGTAACTTCTAACAAGGGCATATGCATTTTTTTATAGGATAAGGGTGACAAACGAGCACACAGTCCACCTGATGGTAAGTGGTTGCTGTGGCCCGTAGACATCTAAGTATATATATCCTCGATTACGAATAAAATTGCAGCTGCTTTGTCATCCGTGAGAACTAAGATAGAATGCCTCTAACCACTAAGATAGCGGTAAGATACTTAGCGGTTAGCCACCGTAGAGTCTATATCACCTGAGGATGCCTCGTGTAGAGGCGACACACGTGTCGTATTATCGTCAGTGGTGTGTCTTGCCTAGTGTAGTGGTGCTGGGAGTAGCGGTGCTGGGATTAGTGGTAACGGGGATAGTGCACGCAATTGAAGTAGGGCGGGAGGTGCTTCTTCATACTAGGTAAGACACATCATTTTATTTTATAACGCGGATATTTGCGAAGTAAATTTTTGTAAAAGCTTTTATATAATGGATTTCCGCAAAGTAACGCCTGATTCTATTAATTATAGAATGCCTCGTTTCCAGAAGGGTCCCTGGTTCTCTACACTCACCATACGAAAAACAGTAGGAGCGTTAAGCAGCTGTTTCACGCATAAATATTGTAAGGTTATTAGAGCATGCGCCATAATAACCTTAGTTTAAATCATCTCTTTATAGATAATTTAAAATGAAAAATCTTGTACAGCCGACTTCAATATAAGTTATTTAAGAATAACTTAAAAACTATTGGTCTGACCTTGATCAAATTCATATGGGACCACACGAGAAGTACCAGCTTTCAAATAAAAAAAGAATCATCGAAATCGGTTCACCCAGAAAAAAGTTCTGAGGTAACACACATAAAAAAAAAACGAAAAAAAAAACATACAGTCGAATTGAGTACCGGCTCCTTTTTGGAAGTCGGCAGAAAATAGTAACCAAATCCTCTATAGCATAAAATGTTTCGTACTTAATACGTAAGTATGGACATGCAGTGAACTTTCTTATCATTAAACAAAAGATGGTAAAAGATGTTTTCAAAATATCAATCAAGCTAACATAACATCCACGTCGTTTCTTTCATTTGTCGTCTTGGCCTTGCACGTGTTTTGTTTTTTTTTTGTTTTATAGGATAGGGTGACAAACGAGCATACAGTCCACCTGATGGTAAGTGGTTGCTGTGGCCCATAGACATCTACATCTATCCTCAGTAAAGAATCAAACTGCAGATGCATTATCACCCGTGAGGACTAAGATGGAATGCCTCTTTTCCAGTGAAAAGGGTCTTCGGTTGTCCACACTCACCATACGAAACACAGCAGTGTTAAGCTGCTATTTTACGCTGGTATTCTGTGAGAGCGTGGTCCTTTCCCGGCCGCATGGCTCTACATATTCTAGTTTAATTTTAAAGCTACACTTGAATCATCGTATTTAAAAAATATCAAAATCACTACATACCTAACCATTGTCGTATGTAGGCGTTACCCGGAGTTGCGGGGAATCTGCCCCCTCAATAGCGATTTGAAACGGAAACCTCAATACGTATTAAATATGTCTTATTAGTTTTATAGAATCACCAACGGAAAGTATACTATACCCCAAAAAATTATAATATACTGGGTTATTTTGCAATAACCGGCAAATTTGCAGAGAAGGTTCAGAATAAGTAATATAGGCAAATAGTGAAGAAAAATTACTTTAATAAAATGAGTGTTAATGTATTATTATGATTGATTTTCATACATTAATATCTAGCGCCTACTATTTTACTACGCACGCATACGTTCGTAGGGGTCGATCGGTAGGCAAAAACGTTGTGAATTGAATCACACACAGAGGAGCGCGTGTACGCGTAGTTGTTGCCCATACATAAGTCACATTCAATTTGGGATAATTTCAAATAAAATAGAAGCCTTATATACTTGTATATATATATTCAAAAACTGCAATAACGGTATATCATTACTTATATATTTGAACTTAAGCTACTCTTTGAAAAATAATCCTGTATATTATAAATGATTAAGATACAATTAAAATATCTCACCAATTATAGTCGACCACGGCTTTAACAAATATTTAATAATAATTTTAAGTTGGTAATCCAACATCGTAGGATGGGTACCCGACAATTCCGCGTCTGGCACGACCGTGCACCGTTCACATAGAACATCATTTCAGCTCACAGCTGGACATAGATTTTTCTCAAACTGTAGCTTTTTACAAAATATTCTTATTTAGTCTTAGCTGACAATAATGGCAAAAACAACGATCTGACACGTTTTTAAGCTAATAAACATTTAATACCATTGAAATAAAATATTTTTGCAGGCAAAATCTGAACTCAGACTTTACAGACAGCGCGCTAGGCAGCACCGACAAGAGTCCTCTGCCCTACGGCAACTTCCAGCTCAGAGATACGACAGTGCAGTCCATACTCTCCCATCCGCGATATGGCCCTAAGTAAGTTAATTCAATATGAATTTTATTTATGACACACGTCATTCTAAATTGTATATTATACTGAATAGTATAATAAAATACACCACTCATGCTAAAGATATAGTAATGTGTACGAAAAAAAAATTTGTAATCACAATTACAATAAGTACAAGTTAAGGTCTAGTGGTCTTTAACGCGATTACTGGTCATGAGGTCCCGGGTTAGGCCAAAATTATTTATTGGCTTTTTCTGTCAAGAAATCCTCAGTAGCAGCATATGTGGAATAAATATAGTGAGTCAACTCGGCGACCAGAAGGAGCAACGATGGGGGTGAGGCGTGGTATGAAGGAGAGCGGAGTGCCCCCTCCCCCTACGGTAGTACCAGTCTACTCTACCAGTCGGCTTCGTTTTCGTACCTGGTACGGTCGCCCGTTTAGGAGCTTTATATATTATCCTATACTCTTTGTTTAGGAGTGTCACGTACATGGAACCAGTTGCGCGCATTTGGTGTTCACCCAACAACACGATTTTACTCGCTATTAATTTTATTATTTAATTAACTTACCAGTATATCTATCTACGTTAACTTTAAATATGCAAATATTGGGAAAAGATTGTATGACGCCTTAAGTAAAATTGATTTCTTGCAACCATGTGATTGCTTTCCAACATAATTTTTAATTTAATTATATGTAAGGATGAAAATTAATTATATCACTAAATTCAACAAAAGACAATTAAAACAAACAATAATATATAACTTAAATATTTAATAACCGTAAATATTTGTCGGTTGGACAACTGCAACGAGGCGTGGTGCGTTGAATAAACAGAACCAACGTATAATTTTAACCTGTTTATTTTTCTGTTCAATCCCCTATCCAATATTTTAAGCGGAATACCTGAGATACTGCTTTTACCTATATATGTAAAATATAGTAAAATTAGGTAGGCTACCTGCACAAGCACAAGCCTTTGTTTCCACCACAACAAATCAAGTGAAGCTGCGGGACGCAACTGATTTTGTAAAGTAGTAATTAGTTTCTATCTTTGTATAGAAAATAAATTATTACGAGGAATACAGATAAATTATAATGTTACGATATTATTATCTAAGGAATTTTTTTGTGACAACCCTTATATATTTTAAGCCTTGTTGGTTGTTTGTGGTATAACAAAGGAGTTGACTCACTATTAGTGTTTATTACTCATATGGTAGCAACCCGGAGTCAGGAATTTGGCGGTGTTTAACCCCGTGTCTCGGAATGCACGTAAGTCGTTAGTTCTGCGCCTGATCTCTCCCCGATCGTATTGGATTACCGTTCCATCGGATTATGAGAGTGAAGGAATAGAGAATGCACCTGTTCTTGCGCATACACTCGGACACTATAATACTGTCCTGCGCAGATGGCTAGTCTCCATCGAAACTGGCTGCCGAGACCGAAATTCGGTCTGGAGAACATAATAACATGAATATGAGGCAGTGGTTATTGTATACATATGACCGAGACCGGAGTAGACGTAGACTTGTATAATCGTTAAGTCTTAAGTTAATCATCTAAGTTCCCGTTTTGAGCCGGTTCGTCACAACGTCTTATCAGTGGTCACCACGCAAGGGTGCGTGGTTCCAGTTGTAGAGGGCGTTTTATCGTGTTTTATACGTCGGCTACCTTTAGAATAAAGGAAAGTGTATTTGGTATCACTTATTTTTTTATGTATAAGATGAGGCAAACGAACATGCGGCTTACCTGATGGTGAGTACCACCGTCTATGAACAACTGCAACAACGGCGAAATTACATGTGCGTCGCGGCCTCTTATTATTTATAAAGTATACTCTTTTCTAGAAAGCTACAAGGTACTACGGCGTTAGTGCAACGAGCATACTAAACATAATGTCTTGGTGCAATAAGCCAATGATACATGGATGATATTACTGGTATCTTAGGAGTGGGCTATTATAAAACGTTACATATTATCTGTTCTCAACGTGCAGTGGCATGGATGACTCACTTGAAGATAATTGCGACGATTTAATTGCGTAACAAACATCTTCACAACCTTTTACATATATTCTTTATACCGTTGTTTGAAAACTTTTTAAATATTTAAAAAAAAAACACTAATAGAATCAACATTTAAAAAACTAATGGAATCCTTATCGGGCGAAACGGATTACGAAATTTTTCACTAAACACTATTAAATATGTAAAATATTACGGCTAAATTAGAAATTACGATTCCTTGCACATGGTTTATTTTAGATATTTACATTTATTTTTGCTAAATCACAAAATACACATTAATTTTATATCATTTAACATTTAAAGTGATCTAACAAAGCGATAAATTAATAAGTTTCACTCACTAATTTATTTTGCAAACTTAATAATCAAAGACTTCCTCTAATAAAGCTGTCGCCAATGTCGCATATTTTTCGCATTATCTTATAATGTAGGCATTATTGACTTTTAATACGACTTTCATAAATTTAATTTGAATATAATTTAGTTTCTCTTTTAACGAAAGTTTTATAACAGTGAAAACTGATAATTGTTACTATTAATAATAAAGAAGCTGAGGCTGTCTTTCTGGCTAATTTTACTGCTAAATTGAACATTCGAAAGCTATTAACCTAATGCCTCCTCTACACTACTCGCGAAGTAGATCGAAGTTGGACGAGGCGAATAGTGTAGAGAGGTACTTCGATTTACTTCGTCCAACCTCGTTTCGCCTCGGGCGACTTCCGACCGCTGTCGGTTTTTTGCGCCAGAGTCAAAGGACTTCGCGAAGTACCCCGAAGTTATACGAAGCGTCTCACTACACTACTCGGCGTACGCCAGTTATGAATATTTTTTTATATATAAATATTAATATATGTAACTTTCTACATAATTATTTATTTAGTTAACGCATTGACATCGTACAGTTCACACAATTAGGTACCTATAGCAGCTGCCTCTTAAACGTCATTCATGTTAACGGTGCGGGAGACTCAAGACGACTGAGCTCTTCGCGAAGTAGCACGAGTGTGTGGACACGTTCTTCGGACTGCGATCAACTTCGACGAGCACTTCGTCGAAGTTACTTCGCGAGTAGTGTAGCGGAAGCATAAGAAGACTATCACAAGTATACATGAAAAGTAGTAGGTGTTCACGTCTACCGAGGCTGAAGTAACGCTTTTGCGATATGACGGGACAAGAGTGTCAGAGAAAAAATTACAATCATGACATAACCAGATCAGAAAACTAAAAATAGGTATGTGTTTTACACGAGTGTAGCTCCGCCGCATTGGAAGCGAACCAGGGACCCGTTGCGTAGTAGCCGGTTATACCACAATTGTCATTCACGTAAACCAGGCGTGTCACTTTGTAAAAATCTGAGGTATGGAAAATGGTGGCGCGATTTTCAAATTTGTTCGCATTACTCGTGGGGTATTAAGGTTTAAGAGTTTGCAGTGTATATACTCAACTTATTTATTGAACTATAAGATGTGGGGTATTGAGGTTTAAGGGCTTGCGATTTATTTATATGGGGTTTGTAGTAATATGCGATTTATTTCCTAATTTCAGCTATGGAATTCCATACCTTGAAAAACTTGAGGTATGGAGTGCTCCATACCTTCCATAGTGGAAGTGACACCCCTGACGTAAACAGTCGTATTATGCAATGCAGTTGTGTCTCAGTTTTTACGACCCGTGGATGCTGAGTCCAATATACAGCCGGAGCCCATATTTGTGTTAAACACCAATTGTTGACATATTAGTCTTGGCATACTACACCGGTATAATACTAATTACCTAATGTAGACTATTAGATCGAGAACACATTATTTATAGTTTTACTAAATATTTTTAAGTACATTATATTATTTTAGTAAGACCACTACGGTGATTAAAAAAAAACATGCGTGAGTGTCGTGGAACACTGGGTTGGAACGAAGTTCATGGCGTAGTATATTATTATTGAAAAAGGTATTATATTATTGATTAACAAATACAAATATAATATATATATATATATATATATATATATATATATATATATATATATATATATATATATATATATATATATATATATAAATTGTTTTTATGAAACATTAAAATTAAATTATTAAACATTATATTACAGATCTGCCCTTGGTTCAAACATGTACACCTACCTGAAATTCGGATTACCTCGAGTTTTCCCGCCAAACCACAATGGCTCTCAACGATCTGGTACGCCTAAACCAAAAACTTCCATTGGGAGCGGCATGAAATCTGTACCAAGGTAAGGAACTTCCTCTTTAGGTATTTAGTTTATCATATGTAATAAAATGTAAACAAGTCCTTTATTTTTATTATAAACCAATCTTTAACTACAACCTCATGGTGTGTTTATGAAGCCATGGATGGTAAATCGCACTGCCTTAGCGTAGAAAAAGCCTATTTCACCTATAAACTTAATTATATATGTAAACTATATTAATAGGTAAATGTATTTACTGATTTTGTTTTGAAAAAAAAACAAATTAATTAATTACACGGATAATTTCTATGGTGGACTGTGTGATGTGGGTTGAAAGAAAACAATTCTTCCAGATTTTTTCTATTTATTCTTAATTTCTCTTCCTTTTTGTTGCTCTGTTGAGAGCTGGAGTCCGACTAAATCAATTGTACCCCTAAACCTTATTCTTTTTATCACACGTATACCCTTATATAAAATAACAATATTTTATATAACTACAATACCTAAAATGTTTCTAGAACATAAACTTTAAATCTTACAGGTTTACAAATATGATATTTATTTGAAAAAACACCCGTCATCTCGCCTATTAAGTAACATAATCATATATAATAGAAAATTAACATCTAAAGGTTTTTATAAGTTCCGTAGTCGGATAAAAAGTAGCCTATAAGTTGTCACGGGTTACTAACTACCTACATATAAAATTTAATGGAAATTGGTTTAGTAGTTTTTGCGTGAATCGGTAATACACAGACAGACAGACAGTCAGGCAGACCAACATTCTAAAAACACCTAATTTGGCTTCAGTACCCTTTATTTAGTCCCCTGGACTTGTGTTTTCAAGAGTATATTAGAATTACAGACACTACTTTTCTACAGATTTATTATATGTACAGATAATATATGAAAATTTTCTTCAGGGTCCAAAGACAGAGTCGAGGCGTACGCGAAACGTCATCTGGGTACGATAGCTCGGACAACGAAACCTCCACCAACTACAAGTACAGTCGCAAATACCGCTCCGACCCAGATTTTAGAATGCAAAATTTACATCCATCGTATCAGGTGCGTAAATATTTACGAGCTCATAAATTTTCAAAACCTGACTTCAAAAAAAGAGGAGGTAATTAAACTCTCACAGAATACCAGCGTAAAATAGCAGTTTAACACTGCTATGTTTCTTATGTTGAGTGTAGAGAACCTGAGACCCTTTTTGCTGGAAAAGAGGCATTCCATCTTAGTCCTCACGGCTGACAACGCATGTGCATTTTTATTCACAAACGAGGATAGATGTAGATGTTTATGGGCCTCAGCAACCGCTTACCATCAGGTGGAGTGTGTGTTCGTTTGTCACCCTATCCTATAAAAAATGAAATAGGCTTTTTGGTTTGGCTGCAGGGGTCATTAGACTGTGGCCACTTACATTAGGTGGATTGGTAATTCGTTTGTCAGTTGAGTGTTTAAAAAGGTGTTGTACGGTTGCAGCACGCGACGGGCGTGCCGCTGGCGGCGATGCAGGCGGCGGGCGCGCGCGAGCAGTGGGGCGGCGCGCGGCTGCGCTCGCACAGCGAGGCCAACCTGCTGGCCGCCGAGCGCGCGCACCGCCGCCGCCCCAGCGCCGCCGACCTGGCGCCCGACAACGACCACCACAGGTACGCTGCACTACTCTTCAATATCATTCATTCATTACAGCCTATCTAAGGACGTTACCACACCAATCAATCGATCGTCGATCGATTGATGGGGTAGCTTTAGCTGATTGAAGGATACTGGTCGATAAAACTTCGTTCAATCATCGATCGATGTCGATGTGGTTCTGGGCTCATCATCAGTATCTTTAAAAACGCAGTCGGCAGAGCGGGGCGGGTTCTCGAATAATCAAGCAGCACGATCGACGTCGACTAATCCATTCAACCATCTATCTATCGATTCGTATGGTAACACCCTTCAGTCCACTGCCGAACGTAATAATTATCTTATAATGCGACTGACATTGAAACTATCTTTGTTTTGCAGAAGGGATAGAACAATTTATTACCTAGGTTCAAAGACTTCTAGATTTTTCTCTACATATAGAAAGAGTCTCTTAGAGAAAAATTTAAAGAAATAAATCTCAGTATATTTAAGAAAATTTAATGTATGAACACAAACCTAAAAAAAGTTTTACGAAAAATATTGATGTACATTCTGTAAATACTAGAAACAAGCACAAATTAGTTGTAAGTACGAGTTATTCGACTCCAATGGATCAGTAATTCCTTCATGGGGCAATGATACTCTCTTACGATGAATTTCCTAAATATGTGCAGGACTTATCTATCAAACAGTTTATGTTTAATAATAACACCTGGAAATGTGGTGATTGCTACTATGCTGTTTCTAATTGTTTAATTACACTACATATTAAATAATACATTATTGTTTAAAAAAATTGTCCCGCTGGGTTTCAAACTGATTCTTCCCAGGACACAGGTGTTTTCCCAAACCAGTGGTAAAACCATTTCTTTAAAACTTTCAATAAATACTTCATAGTCTATACTATTCTATAGGCCTCCCCGAAAGATTGCCTTATGCCTTGCATTTTCATATTACGCTCGCCGCCGCAACGCATTGCGTGGCCACGATTTAACAATATTTTGATTAAACTTATTATCACGTCTGCATCAGTTCTATTCTATTCTTAAACTATTATATACTATTTTCAAACGTTACTACCACACTAGGATTTTCTTCTGTATCGTGGGGGCAGTGTACACACATAAATTTCACAAGGACAAACATCCAGACCCGGAACAATTATTTGTAGGCCGTCTGCATTAGCTAGCATTCTAGTCCTACTGTTCATATTTCTTTTCTAGTTACTTGATGCCCTCATCCCACCTCGGCGGCCGCATGTCCAAAGCCGGAAGTCACTTATCACTAGCACAATCTAGGAAGCACTCCACACTACGACCTGGTGATCAGCTGGATGGTTATACGCACTCGGCATACATTTATCCCAATTATTACGTGAGTAACGAGAAATTATAAATTATAACGATCGTAGTGATACCCTTATGTTTGTATCGCAACGTTGATAAAGATTTTTTTTAACTTCCCACTTGGATGTTCGTCGTTTGGAACTTATATTTGAAGGTCTAAATTTCAAAATATCACCACGTTTTGACGTAATAATAAATGTACGTTTATTGCCAGGTAAACAGTCTAGAAATCACATCTCCGGAAAACAAGTCGACTCTCCTTGTGTCTGGGCTAAGCTTTGAAGTTAAATCTGGAGAGATATTGGCAGTCTTGGCTACGTCCCAACATGAAGCTACTGGGCTTTTAGATGTACTCGCTGGAGTCCGGAAGGTAAATATGATCCCTTACGCGGTTTCATCAGCGGCGACATCTATTGTTATATAAACAGAAGCTGTCAACTGCGCAGGACACAATATCATAAGTTGCGTTATGTTGATCTTAGGTGCCTATGTGTATTATGTATTAGGTGGCTATACATAAAAGTCCAATATGAATTTATTATTAAAAAAAGGAGATACAATACTCACGTTTTGTTTTTCTGATACTCACCAGAAATTATCAGGTGACATAGTGCTAAATGGTCAACCGGTAGCTTCTTCTACACTTCGCAAAGTAGCAGCATACGTACGGAAGGACACGTCGCTATGTCCGTCGATGACCGTAGAGCATACGTTGCGATTCCACGCAGCTTTGCGCAGGCCTAGACATAACCATAATCAGATCAAAATGGATGACAGGGATCGGGTGAGTTGAACAATACAAAGAAAACAGTACTAACTATTTTTATTCCCTACACCACATCGTTTCGTGGGTGTCAGAAGACGTGACAGAGGAAAGCTGAAACAGGAGATGAGCAGCAGCATCTTCCTCATAACAACTTAAAATCATAAAAAGCTACCTACCCGCCTGCCAAGCGAGTGACTTTGTTTTAATAATTTTTTTTAACTTGTACAGGCATTGTACATTTTCTGGGATTTACATGTAAAAGCATATCTGGGATTGACATGTACATTAATTACCCAATTAATAAATTACTCTTTGGTAGCGATATAAGATTGTTAGTTCTGAGTATTTTTTACAGAATAAAATATCTCTTTTCTTATTAAATTTTTATTTTAATATATTTTTTTTTTGCTTAATATTTGATTCCAGATAAACCTTCTTATAGAAGAATTAGGGCTTGAACAAGTTCGAGACACAAATGTGAGTCGGTTGACACGTTCAGAAATTCGGAGACTTAACGTTGCTTGTCAGTTATTATTAGACATGGCAGTATTGATACTGGACCAACCTACTAAAGAAATGGACATTTTCGACACCTTCTTCCTCGTGGAATACTTGAGGAACTGGGCTAGTACTGGACGCGTCGTCATAATGTCCTTGCACCCACCTACTTATGAAATATTCGCTATGCTTACTAAGGTAAGGGTTATTTTAACTATCTAAACTATAAGGATAACTCAAAGTCAAATAATATTTTAATGGTAGAATTGTTTTTGTTGAAACAGATTCCTGAATTATCTATGATCTTAAAAATTAGAGGACGTTGTGCTCTTTATATATTTTTTATTTTAGGTTGTCTTGATATCAGCCGGTAGGACAATGTTCAGTGGATACAGAAGAGACATGTTGCCATATTTTGCCTCAATCGACTACCCATGTCCTGCTTTCAAAAATCCATCCGATTATTATTGTATGTACTGATTTTTAATTACTAATACATTAATTTATTTTGTGATCTTTTCCATAAATCAAAGTATTATGTATTACTCTTTATAACAGCACATAAAATGCCTTGAGTAACAATGTACTCTATGAAAATATTTTCACCATAAACTAAATATAAAGGTCCCATTATGTTACCTTGTGCCAACATATTTTCTCAGTATAAAATAATGTTAATTGTTACAGATCGTATTCGGAAACCTATAACCATATAAAAATACAATTTAAGTTAAAAGTATGAAATAAACAAATGAATAATTGGTTTCAGTGGACTTAGTGACGCTAGATGATTTATCCGCGGCCGCAATGCTAGAGTCATCAGGGCGTATCGAAGCCCTGGCGGGAGTGTTCGCGGGCGCACAGTCCCCACCGGAGCCGCCGCCGCCCGTCCCGCTGCCAGCACCACTGCACCGTCCCAATGCATTGTTGCAAGCATTCGCCCTTACCGAGTGAGTGCTGAGTAATCTTTAAACTGAAGGGAATGAGAGGTCTCTAGTTACAAGAGAGAGGCTAAGGGGACGTAGCAAGTTTACAGACTTATATGAAAAGGTTTACTAAGTCTGTATGTACTTATGCCTTTAAACATTATCTCTCAGTTAACATAAAAAACATTTTTACATATACAAAAAACAAAAATTAAGCGAAAAAAAATATGTAGCAGAATCAAGTACAATGGTCAGTTTTTACGCTAAAAGCGATTTCTTTCAGACAACCTTGGATGAACAGAATTAATTAACGATTGAAATCTTAGTGGGTCGGTGACAACTAAAGCTATCAATTTTAAAATTTAAAAACTCTAATGACAAATTAAAATTAAAATAAATAAACAGAATAGAAAAATAGATATAGCATTTTTAAATAAAAATTATTTTTAGATACACTGCTACCATGGAATTATGGAATACGTGTTTTACTTCTTTGGACGTTTGTATCTTTCTTTTGATGTTTGCACATCTATATTTTTAACCGTTACTATTTTCAGGAAAAGCTTGTTGTACACCCAAATGACCACTCTCTCCAATGTGATTACGCGGGTAATAATAGCCGCTGTCATGTCACTCATCACAGGAACCGTGTTTTGGGATCTGCCAGCAACTGATGCTAAGGTAAATTTTCACAATCACATTATATCGGTCCAAAAATCTGCTGTGGGGTTGGGAGAGGCCTTTGGCCAGCAGATTTTTCCATTTTCCGTTATCACCACCATTGGGTGGCGGATTGGCGATCGCATTACTAAACCTCTCGCACCTTCGATCTTTTTTTTTAGTCGCCATTTTGGTAAGTTAAGTCCTGACATGATAGGTTTCCCGCAATCTATCAGATATTATAAATTCCACAAGTCTCAATAAACAGAACCAAAAATGGGATAGTAACATCTTAACGCCGCCACCACACGGCACTGTTAATTTGTCCATAAAGAAATGTTCCAGTGTATTTGTTCTTATTCTGTACACTATAAAAGATTTTAATTAGAATAATGTATTAAGTTTTCTAACTTACATGACTTCACTGTGGAATCTAATACCACCAGCGACTTTTCAGGGCCGTTACGATTAAGGGACGATCAAAAAAAAGAGCCTACTCCTTTTAAACGGCCGGCTACGCACCTGTTGCAATTGCATTGGTATTGCAGATGTTCATGAGCGACAGTATTTCTTATTTTTAATAGAATAAGGGAGACAAGCAAGCACACAGTCCACCTGATGGTAAGTATATGTTGTGGCCCATAGAAATCTACATTTATCGTATCTGACGCGATATCACCCCTGAGGACTAAGATGGAATGCCTCATTACCAGTAAGGTCTCCGGTTCTCTAAACATTTACTATAACAAAGCAGCATTATTCTGCGGTTTGACACTGGTATACTGTGAGAGCGTGGTCCTACCCTGGTCGAGCCTACCCATTGTCACCGCAGTCATAAATAGCTGCAGCGTGGCTCTACCACGTAAAAGTAAGGCAGTACTTCCATATCATCGGGAGAGTCACATACTCATTTGTGTGTGCGTGTGTGTGTGTGTGTGTGTGTGTGTTTCTTCTATATTATAATAAAATAATATTGTAATTTTTTGCAGCTTACACAGAACGATAGGATCGGTTTCCATTACTCGGTAATGTGTTTGTCGGCATGGCCTTTACTACTGTGGCTGAGTGCTAGAGAGGCCAGCTCCATGCGTCATTACGTGGAAAGGGACGTTGCAGTCGGATTGTATTCAAGGACTGTGTTCATACTTTTTGATGTGAGTTTTTGTTGAAAATAATATTTGTACTCTATGGAAAAACAGAGATTGCAATACAATATATAGTTTATAAATAGGTTGAAGTAATATATTATTGTTCTGCCAATTACTATATCAATTACAACCGCGGCGGTAACCGGTAACTTCTAAATAATTATAGAAGCATCGAGATAATGTGGTGTTCCAATTTCAAAGCGCATCATTGTTACTGAAGCACTCACTGGTAGTGAATATAACGTTAACGTGATACGTTTGGAAGTAGGTAGACTCAAATGAAGTTTCACTGACACTCCGATCACAAAGACCCGAAAATTTAAAAAGAGAAGTATTTAAATATTATGTGTAAATTTGGTTAGCCACAAAAAAAAACAGCATTTAAATCATTTGGTTAGCATTCAAATAGGTATTTGTTTCCAATAAAAAAAAAACATTCGGCAATTCTTGTTTCGCAAGTAATCTTGATAATGTTCAGTAATTTAATCATAAATAGGCAGCTTACAATAATATGAGTTTGCCTGTAAAAATAACTACTTGATCAGCAAGATTCACGATTGGTTAGCAAAGAAAATATGTATGTTTATAAGCGGAGACCTAAATTTAACCAACTACTGCGGCCAGCAGTAGTCGGTTAAATTTAGGCGTACTGTTAAATTTGTAAAAATATGTTACGGCTAAAAGCCGAAGTGCGGTTACACCTAGTTCTAGCCGGCTAGGACTAGGTGCGGCCAGCAGTAGTTGGTTAAATTTGTAAAAACACGGATATACGTATCTATAGCCAAGTCGAGGAAAAAAGCGGCAGGGCCGTACCATCCTTTTCTCGAAGCAGTTCAGGCCATTTTCGAAACCCTATAACTTCGTTGTGAATAAAACTAGAAGCCTGAATTTTCAATAACATTGGCATTGTATAGACTCGGTATATTTCAAATTTCATTAAATTTGAACCAGTAGTTTAAGAATTATAACTCGTAATAGTTTCTTAATTTTGTCACTCACTGACTGACCGATCATCAAAACTCTAAGGCACTTCTAGCAGACATAAAAGCTTCAAATTTGGAATACAATTATTGTTTAGTATATAAATCAAGGAAAAACTAAAATATTTTGCAATTTCGGTCGTTTTCGAGATACACAAACTGCATAAATAACTTTGTAATCCCATATAAATATATAGGATTACAAAGTTACATTTGCAGTGAATGAATCAGTGTACCTATATATGTATAATATAATGGAATAATAGGTATAACTATCTACAAAAAGAAATAAGATGCCATCAAAAACATAACTTGTAAAAAAACCAAGTCTCGTAACTCAGTTATTCTACCGTAAAAAGTTGTGAGATCCCTGTAATACCAAGTCGGTTAATTTATTCAGTCCCTACTTAAGGGTCCTTCTGTCTTAAGTTATTACACAATTAGCTAACCTAACAACATCTTATAGTGACCATATCAATATTGAAAATCTTTTATGTTTTAAATAGATTGACTTGGCTATCGCATGAAAACACAATGTATCTCTCAAGTAATACATATTACATTAAATTAGATTGTTTAGTGCGATTGCCAAGTTATTTTTTTAATTTATTTTTTGTTTTTATAAAACGTTACCTCCACACTAGGATTTTCTCCTGTATTGTGGAGGCAGTTTACAAACACAAATTGCACAAGGACAAACATCCAGACCCGGAACAATTATTTGTAGGCCATACAAATACTTGTTCCGTGCGGGATTAAAGTGCGGCTAAAGCCGCGTACATTCTTTTTTATTTTTTAGTTGCTTACCCTCTAAGTGCTTATCAAAATTTTATAAACTTGAGTCATTCATTGCAGAATGTCAAAATTGCCGATTGATTTAATAATAATGTTTGCTAGCCATGGTTTGCTGACCAATTATCTATTTCAGCTGCTAGATTACATTTCTCTGCTGACAATAATATGAATACTATGCTAACCCTTGAAATAACACCCATTTAAAAATTATACGACTTCAAATCCATCGTTCAAGTACGACGACAAAAGCCATCAAATACTTGAATCGCGACTTGCTTTATGTATTTAGAAGCTGGATGTTTTCATTTTAATTCATATACCTTGGTAATGAAAACCCTTTTCAGCAATTCCTCGAACTTTGGTCTGCGGTACTAACATGGCTTGCATACTTGGTGCCAAGTTACGCGATGAGCGGTTTGTACCCGCAGTCACCCGGCTCACTTGACGGTTTCTATATTTATTTAGGTAAGTTAATTTCATTTTTTCAGTTATAATGTTTGTATAAGTGTGCTAGTATGTGTGCGTGCTTACGTGTGTGTAATACCCAGAAAAAGAGAAAAAGTCGTTACATTTATTATATTCATAAGAAATTATATCCTGACCGTTGATAGTGCTAAAGGTGAGCCACCAATGGGTACTCTAATAGCATGGCAAGTCCTTCTCAAAGAGAGACCCATGCACAGCAGTGGAATGTTGTAGGCTGATTAAAGGTGGATGAATAATATACATATTTATTTCACAGTTACACCCACCCACACACACACACACACACCCACACCCACAACCACCCACACACACACACACACACACACACACACACACACACACACACACACACACGCATGCAAACACACACGCACGCTCGCACGCACGCTCGCACACACACACACACACACACACACACACACACACACACACACACACACACTCACACATGTGCGCTTGTATCTTAATCTTGTTTTCATTAAAAATGGCCAACTTTTTTACTTTCAGGAGCTTAATGTTATTATTGTGTAATTTTTGTATATTATAACCATAGAGCAAATACAAAGAGGTGTTGTAATTAGATTTCACTAAAACGTGTGACAGTTTGCGGGGTGAGGGTGTGTTAAGCCCCGCCCACTTAACTATTTTCCATCTACCGATAAATAGTAAAACTACTCGCATCATTCCATATAGATGTTTCCATCTCTGTGCAGGGGCTCCCCAGTGCCAGTTCCTTCCACTTGACCGCATCCAGCGCAGAGCGGTTCGAATCGTCGACGGCCGAGTTCTTTCCGATCGGCTTGACTCACTGGCACTGCGTAGAGATGTTGCATCTCTTTGCGTATTTTGTCGCATTTACCATGGGGAGTGCTCTGAGGAATTGTTCGGACTAATTCCAGCCGCTCAAGTTCACCATCGCACATCGCGACAAAATTGCGATATCATCCATGATGATTGGCGGTCCACCACTGCGCGATTTAGAAGATGTTTTCTTCCTCATACAACTTTCTTGAGGAATCGATTACCACCAGCGATTTTTCCGGCCCGATACGACTTCAAGAAAAGAGCCTACTCCTTTTTAAAAGGCCGGCAACGCATCTGCACTTCCCCTGGTGTTGCAGTTGTTTATAGGCGGCGGTAGTCACTTACCATCAGGTGAGCCGCATGCTCGTTTGCCCCCTATCCTATAAAAAAAGATGGCGGCCTGTTCACAAAATGGTTATAAAAACTATAAAAATAATATTTTGGTGATTAAACATTCTTTAGGACTGAATGCAAAGCAAATTTCAACACTTTCATATGATTTTACCAATACTGAGCTCTACGTACCTTTATATTTTAGTTACCATGACACAAAGTGTCGCCATAACTGTAAAACTGTCGCAGATTGTTCTAGAACTATTTTAATAAATTAGGTATAAAATTACTTACAAATGAAATATGATGCCATCCATAGTATCAGATCTATCTATATATCTGAGTAGTTTTTACACGATAGAATTTAACACTTCATTATTTTCTTCTTAATACAGTGAAAATACACCAATTTGCAATTTTCGAGACATAAGCGCACAGGACGAACGCTGACAGTATACTAACTAAGGCCACGCCCACTGTAATGACGTCGGATCTAGTTAGAATCACAGTTGCTTAGGCCGTCTCCTCTTTGTATTTGCTCCGTGATTGTTGCACTGGAAGGGTACAGACGTTACAGCTCAAGGTTTCCCATTGCAAGCGTTAGCTGAAATACTGCTGTATAGAATAAGTAAACATTTTGTATTTATTGTTTAAGGACTTTGTATGGTGTGCAAATCTTTATATATAAAAATTACGTGTCACGTTGTTTGTCCGCGATGAACTCCTAAGCTACTGAACTGATTTCAATGAAATTTTGCACATTGTGTGCAGTTTGAGTCCAACTTGAGAGATAGGATAGTTTTTGTCCCGATAAGTGACCCTCACTATTATCACGGTTGCCAACCCGCTTGCCGCTCGTGGCAAATATCCTTCTTATGAGGCAATCTTTGGGGGAAGCCTATGTTCAACTACTGTATATTTATGTGTACTTTTAATAGGCTGTATGTATTGTAATGATGAAATGCTCGTGAGCTTAAGGTAAAACACTTTAACTTGTAGGGTATATGCTGCTATACCTAATCAGCATACAGATGCTTTGCCGTGCAATGGTGTTCCTTGTGCCGATGGAGAAGACCTCCTCTGTAATATCAGGCGTAGTTCTGCTTCTCACCACAATGGTGAACGGCGTAATGCTACACCAACAAGATTTACCATCGTATTCCCGATGGCTGGAATACATCTCCCCGTCAAGATGGACTTTGCCGGAGATACTACAGCGGGAGCTCAGTGAAATAGCACTGAGAAGTAGCATCAGTAAAGAAATTAGATGTACCAATAAACAGGTAAGTGTGAAATTATTTTATCTACACACAATATCATACACCAATTTTATACATAGTATCAAATACCAATTTTACGTGGTAGAGCCACGATGCAGTTAAATTTTGGCGAATGCACGAATGGGTCGGCTCGGCCGGGGTAGAGCCAGCAAAATCGGCAAAAAGGCAGTCTTTCGCATGATGAGTATAGAGATGCGGACAGCCTTTTTACTGGAAACGAAACATTCCATCTTCGTCCTGTTCAGCTTCCAACAACGCATATGTATTCTTAATCGAAGATAGATGAAGATGTCTATAGGCCGCAGCATTCTCTTACCATCAGGTGGATTGTGAGATCGTTTGTCATTTTTATTGTAAAAAAATCAATTAACCGTGTTCATTTTTAAATAAGTTTGTTTTTCACATTACTTATAATTTAAGTAGTGTCCTCACCATAAATTTCACAGCACGTGAGAAACTCGGGTTGGATCCCCGCTGATAACAATGAAATTGTTAATTACATTTTTAATTTATGGTTTTCCACAAGCTCAGCTGTGAAATAAAACATCTAGAGGAAACCTGTATTCCTGAGAAATAAAAATATTTCGCACAAAATCTGCATGTCTCAAGAATTTAAATATTTTGAAGTCATGTGTAGCCTGCTAACACGCACTGGATCAGCGCGGCGGACAAATTGCTCCATAAGCCTCTTAAAATTGAGATGAGGCCTATGCCCAGCGGTGACACGTATATACGAGTAGGCTCTATGTTACTTTACTTATGCCTTACTTTAAATTAACCGTTCATAACAACGACCTATTGTTTTATTATTTCAGAGACCATATCAAGACATAATAGTACAATCGCCATGCCCACCTCCAAACGGAACTCAAGTGCTATCAAACTACGAGTACTTAAGATCGGACAACATATGGGAGTGGAACCAGCAGAGCTTTCTCATAGCTCTAGCTGTTTTCTACGCAGTTTTCGCTCTAGTCGCCATAATAGCTTTTGTTTTAGACTGTACTAAATACGTTAAGAGTAAAGAGAGGAAGTCGTTAAAGGGGCACAAAGTAACTGTGAACACACCTTAAGGTGTAATTATATGCGAATTAAAATTCATGCTTTCTACAATGTAGTCGTGCCGCTCTGTGTGAAATAGATACTGGATTGTTTAAACCCCCATTCACATTGAAACTGTAGTCTGAGTGAAAAGATGTTTATATTTTCGTAAAATATATTTATATCGTATTAGTTACGTTAACTACATGTTCCAACTAGGGTTCAAATTAATTAGTAAAAGTTATGTTTGCTGCACGCTACTATTTAAGAAATTAGTTTCATTTATATCCAAAAATTTATAAAAAGTTCCATGAAACTATTTCTGCAATGTTAGTGCGAAAATTCATCTAATCTGTAATCCTGAAATGGGGTGGGCAGAGTTCAAAGGAAGCAAGCTGCCCAGACACAGGTATCACAAAAATGGCTTTAGCGGACCATAAAGAAAAATTTGTGTTTTATGATTCCCCATGGAATACCCAACTCTTTTAATGTAAATTATAGTTTTAACATATTATATTGGTGCTGAACAGGTCACCGTTGGCAGAGTTTAGATAATCGATGGTCATATTTGGTGCTACATTATATCATAAATTGTAGCTTAATTATATTTTCCAAAAATATTTTAGCCTACTTACAAGTAAATCTATTATAATTTATTGTACAGATAAACACGCCTTTGTGCCTGATTTAATAAAATAAAAATATAGTCGCAAACTTAATAACAAATAATATAATACGATTAAGCAAAAAAAAAATAGAAGAAACCCAATGTTCAAAATTTTGTTCCGAAATATCTTTTTCAACAATTTTATTTTTAGGAACCAATGTACAAAACAGGTTTGTCAATTAAATTATTATTTTTATTGTCCGTATTATTATTGAATAATGAAAAATAACTGAATATTGAAGGCTGACTATAATGTCTTCCGTCCATAGTACTTAATTAAAACGTTTGTAAGAAATAAGTTTTCAAGTTAGTCTAATATTGCAACTTTTTTATAATCTGTATTTATCCTTAGTTTAATAACTATTTCTTTCTTCATGTTGCGTCTTGTCTATTGATATAGAATTATATATTTCTTTCTTGAATATTACAACAGCAATTATAGTAGGTAGAAAATAAATAAATGTAAGTATTCTTTATTAAAAAGTTTGTAAATAATTGAGTGCCGAATTTATTAACGTTAATTAACTCGCACTGCCTTCAGATAATGCTCATTTGATTATTTTAAAATAATACAAATTCCTTAGAAAAAAAAAAACTCAGGCTAAGAAGTTTTTTCGTATACATCACGTCGCAGGTCCGTTCCATTCCGTCATTCAATATAGGTTCACACTAGAGTGAACGAGAATTAACGTATGGGCGGTTAATAGAAGATACAATGGATACTCTCACGCACGCAGTGACGCATGCACGCAAACGCGGTGTACACCTACAGTATAGTCTGTTCGCTTAGATACGGTCGCCTATGTGTCGCGCCGCCTCAGCACGTGCCTCATCTTGTCAAAGGCTCCGCCGCGACATTATAGGTCGCCGCGTGCGGCGTACACCCGCAGGAGAATTAGGCATTTTAAAACGAAGCGCCGTAATGAATATATTTATATTCGTATAATATTACAAAGAATATAATACGATTTTATTCTTAGAAAAGGAAAACATTTATTTAACAGTAAAAATAATAAAATAAAAGCAAAATAATAAGCCGGGTGTACCGACACTATCTTAGCGAACAGACTATAGCAGACGAAGAATGCCCTCGTCGGTAATACTAAATATCTTCGGCTTTAATATAATCGCAGAGTAAGGTTTCTTTACTCATGTGATATAATATAGTTGTGTTGCCTGTCGAACTGTTGAGTCGATAACGAATCTATATAAGGTATATACAAATAAATGTTTCTGATTGTCCCGCATGTCTTCCTAAACTATTAGTCCTATCACGAGTAAACTTTGGCGAGTTGTTGAATGCGCGCATGTTTCTGTCAAAAAAGGCATTACAACGCATACCGGGCACAGCAAGTTATTTATGTGCGACCATACTCAAATTATGTAAGTTTATATTTTTTACTAAAGTACCTGCGATGTGACTGGTATATCTCAACGATCCTAATTTATATGTTAAGATATATAAGTGAAATGTATATGAGCCATAATAAAGAAAAAATAAATAATTGGTAAGTTACCTTAGCATGCGATGAGTATCGTGATATAAAATAAAAATTAGTTGTAATTATTTCTGTCAGTTTTATTTCAAACACATTTACATATAATGTTGACAAAATTGATTTACTTAAAAATTATTTCTCATACAGTAACTATAGATAATAAGTAACAAAATCGATAAAAATTATATTTATACCATAACAATATTTTTTCTAAATAGCAATAAATTACGTATGATACATTCATTAACTATGACATTTTTGACATTTGAATGCCTCTAAGACCCGTATTAATAAACGTTACTCAGCTCAAGTACACGCACTTGAGTACAATAATGAGGTTATGATCTTATTAATACACATATCTCAAGATGCGGTTTAGGTTTACGATATCAGCTGAGTGCCACACTGATTAATAAACGAAACTCGACTCTCAAGTATGTGTACTTGAGTGCGAGTCATAGAATATTATTCCTAAGTACAATGTTTTGAGATACTGTTTTTATGTGTTTATTAATTAGCAACGATCTTGAGATACTGATATCGTAATGAGGGCGTATCAAATGATTACGCACTTGAGTTCGTCGTTGAGTAACGTTTATTATTAATAGGGCCTAAGATCATTGTTTCCCAACATGATTAATGTATTTGTCAAAAGAAACTTTATATAAATAAATTTAACTAGGATAGGTAATGTGCAAAGAGTAAATATAATCACTATGTGTTGGGTTTTATAACGTGGTACACCATACTTATTCAAGTATACGTCTAGCAAAGATGCATAATATATACAACCTCGATGCTAAATAATGGTAAGTGTTTGTGCACAACTGTTTTTTTTTTAATAAGATCATATCACGATCATCAATCTCATACTGTAGTGGTATTGAAAGCATATCCACTACCCCAAATCGTCAAATCAAACCAGGAGATGGGCAGCAGCGTCTTTCTAATAATAATAAAAAACTGCGGTTGCACGTCTAAAAAGCGTGGCAAATATGCCAAATATCGCCCCTATAAGGCAATATATGTGGTAGGCCTATATTCAGCAGTGAAAGATAAGCTGTGAGTCAAGTATACAGATCTACCTATTTTGACATCGTCATATGACGTAGTTATACAGATCTACTTATTTTGACGTAATTATACAGATCTTCGCGAAGATGTCAGAATAAGCAGATCTGTATATTTAACTCATTTTTGAATGACTTGTGGGTTGGAACGTTTTTGTATAACTACGTCTAATTATAAAGTACAGAATTTTGAGCCATTACAGTATTAACTAAGAATAATTTTTGATTTTTATAAAAAATAAAAATTCAACATGATCAGCTTACATACAGTTTTGCAAAAATTTTTATTTTCTAATTCGGGTCATATTCTAAATTTATAATATTAGACTCTAGCTGTGTGAAGGAGACGAATGAGTGTCAATCATCCAACTCCTTGTTCGTGGTGGTCATAAGAGAGACTAAAAGATATGCAAAGAAGAAAAACAGCAGACTAAACCTGGGCACTGAATTAAAAAAAAAGTCTTACAAAAAAGCTTTTTTCATCAAATACGAACTGTTTTTACATTCAGGTAATGTAAGCCATTTACGAACTAAAACAACTAAATTTGATTTTAAATGTCGTTAAATGATTTTTAATGACCGTTTCTAAAAACGCGATACCGCGTTACTAATGTTGGAGAAAACTATAAAGTCTCCGATTTTCTACTCACCACACGAAGCACAACAGCATTACGCTGGTATTCTATGAGCGCGTGGTCCTTCCCGGACGAGCCGACCCATCCGTGATACAACCATAATATAGCTGCAGCGTGGTTCTAACACGTTAAAATTTCAACGCGGCGCAACACTCCTCCCGTTTTTTCACCCCCTGTACAATTAAAAATTGCCAGTGTCCTACATCGGGCCACTTAAGTACCATTACTTTTTTTTTAATTTCATAACATTTTACTAATAAATTTATATTATATAATGTTCTTCATCACCTATCAGCGGAGTGCGTGTGAAACAATTCGTGGTATCGCCTGCATATATCACACACGCAGGGCTGAACTCGAGTCGCGTGGTGTTCACGTCGCGATCGAGTCGCGCAACTGTGCCGCTGCTCGTCTACGTAGCAACTCTCAAGAAGCAGCTTCTTTATCCGTTCTTCGTTCGGTAGTGCGGCCCTGACATTCTCTGATTCGTTGTCCATTCTGTGAATAATAATAACAATGTTTATCAAAATAAAACGTCTGTGCCTTGTGACCTTGTGACGTGGGGTCGTTTAGCGACCGAAATTATTTGCGTAGTCGTTCCTGCGAACGGGTTAATCCCGGTCAGCCTCTCGAGTCATTTTAAGAGACTATAACTCCGAGACAGACCGACCGTATTAGGCTCAAATGCAGGCAGTGCTCCTTGAAACCACCCGCATCGTTCGCCGGTTTCTTTCCCTTTCCCCATCATCCTCGGCCGTTCGGTCTCCTCTATCGAAGGATTCCGTCTGTTTGAATTTATTTTTTATTTTAATTTATTCTATTTATATATTTCCAAATAAGACGAGAATACTACAAAATATCCCCATAAATAATAATAATGATCTATACGAATAGAAAGTCCCGCAAAGCAAAACAGCAAAGAAAGACGACAAAATTTGTAGACATGGCCCCACGAGGTAATCGATATGTAGGGTAGTCTGATTACCAAAATTATACCAAAAGTCGTGTCTGTAAATGCGAACGGGCAGAAGGCGGTGCTTCTCGGTACAGGCCGCGTCGCATCGTCCCGCAGTATACTCGCACATTCCTCGGCTGGTTGGTTTATTTTAAAGTACATCTCAAGGATAGGATAGGTTATTTATTTATTTTGTTATATTCTACATAAAGAGACTATGTTAAGTATATATTTTTTATAAAAAAATAGTTTTTACATATTAAGTTTTCCAACCAAGCGCACAAATATATCGTAAACAATAGAAAAAATCAAATGTATAACCCAAATTGTATTTGATTGTTCTCTATACTTTTAAGCAAAATTTTTACGGGACTGTGCCAATCGTTGTGTCATTATAAGTCAATGACTATTATACTATTGCCGTGTAGTGGCGGTCAAGAATATCCACTACCCCATATCCTCCCGTGGGTGTCGTAAAAGGCGACAAAGGGAAACAGGCAGGAGATGGGCAGCAGCATCTTCCTGATAATAGCCAAAATTACAATAAAAAAACTGCGGTTGCCAACCCGCTCGCCAAGCGTGGCAACTATGGCAAATCCCCCCTATGAATGTAACAAAGAGACGGCCCCCAGTCCCCGGCGGCCCCGCTATTCCTGGCTACGGTGGCGACCATGGTAACGGCGGGGCAGGGGGTGCTAAGAATCTCCGGTGGAGGTTCGGTTGCCACCTTAGACGACTCGACCTGGCAACGTACAACGCACGCACCCTGAGGACTGACGAGAAGATCGTGAAGCTGGAAGAAGAGATGGACAAGTTGCGCTGGCATATTATAGGATTATCCGAAGTCCGAAGAGAGGGGGAGGACACGGTAATCCTCGAATCCGGCAACTTGCTCTATCACCGGGAGGGCGACCATCTGTCCCAAGGAGGTGTCGGATTTATCGTCCACAAGTCTCTCGTTAACAACGTTGTAAAGATCGGGAGTGTGTCGACGAGGGTTGCGTACCTTATACTCAGAATCACCAAACGGTATTCGCTGAAGGTCATACAGGTTTACGCACCAACCTCGGCACACCCCGATGAGGAGGTGGAGGAAATGTATGAGGATATCTCTAGAGCCATGCATTCCTCCAAAACCCAATATACGGTGTTAATGGGAGACTTTAATGCAAAATTAGGCACAAGAGAGAACGGTGAGCTGAAAGTAGGGAAATTTGGAATAGGGCAACGGAACCCAAGGGGCCAGCAGCTCGCCGACTTCATGGAGAAAGAGGGACTCTTTATGATGAACTCTTTCTTTCAGAAGCGGCCCCACAGGAAGTGGACCTGGTCGAGCCCCGACGGTTCGACAAAAAATGAGATTGACTTCATTATGACGACCAGACGACAACTGTTCAGTGATGTCTCCGTGATCGCGAGGGTGAAAAGTGGTAGCGATCACCGAATGGTTAGAGGCACACTGAACCTAAACGTTAAGTTGGAGAGGTCTCGTCCAATGAAGTCAACGCTCCGTCCCCCTCGTGCTCTAATCCAAAGTCCCGAAACCTTTCAGCTCGAGTTACAAAACCGTTTTCAGTGCCTAGAAGACTGCAATGAAGTGGACGATATGAATGACAAGCTCGTGGAAACTGTCCATGCGGTCGGAGCTAAGTTCTGCAAGACCCGCCGCAGAAGAACACAAAAACTCTCCGATCACACTCTTAATCTCATGGCTGTTAGACGGGAGATGAAGCTACATTCTTCAACAGACTTGACAGCATACAGGCATCTGAACAGACAGATCTCCAAATGCATGCGGCGGGACTTACGCAACTTCAATACAGCTCGTATTGAAGAAGCGATCGAGCGGAACCAAGGCTCCAAAGTCTTTGCCAGAGATCTGTCTGCCAGAAAGAGCCAACTGTCAAAGCTGAAGACAGAGTGTGGCAGCATCGTTTCCGGGATACCTGAGATTTTGAGTGAGATTGAAAGGTTCTATGGGCAGTTGTACACGTCATCGTTGGAGCCACACGCAAGTGTGAGTAACGATCCAAGAGCGAGTCTCATCCGACACTATTCCGAAGATATCCCGGACGTCAGTCTGAGCGAGATTAGAATGGCTCTCCAGCACCTTAAAAACGGTAAGGCCCCAGGCGAGGATGGAATTACAGCGGAGCTTCTGAAAGCGGGTGGAAAACCGGTACTTGAAGTCCTTCAGAGGCTCTTTAATTCCGTCCTCCATGGTGGCATTACACCGGAGGCGTGGAGCAGAGGTGTAAGACAGGGTGACGTCATATCCCCGAAACTCTTCACCACTGCATTGGAAGACGTTTTCAAGCTTCTGGACTGGAAAGGATACGGTATCAACATCAATGGCGAGTACATCACTCACCTTCGATTTGCCGACGATATAGTCCTTATGGCAGAATCGCTGGAGGACCTAAGCACTATGCTCAATGACCTCAATAGTGTTTCCCAACGGATAGGTCTTAAGATGAACATGGACAAAACTAAGATCATGTTTAATGTCCATGTCACACCTATGCCGGTAGTTGTTGGGAACACTAAGCTCGAAGTTGTTGACGAGTATGTTTACCTGGGACAAATAGTCCGACTAGGTAAGTCCAACTTCGACCGAGAGGTCAATCGACGGATTCAACTCGGTTGGGCAGCGTTCGGGAAATTACGGCACATCTTCTCGTCAGGTATACCTCAAACCTTGAAAACGAGACTGTACACCCAGTGCGTGTTGCCAGTGATGACATACGGAACTGAGACGTGGTCCTTCACTGCTGGCCGGATGAGGAAGCTCAAGGTCGCTCAGCGAGCTATGGAGAGGGCTATGCTCGGAGTTTCTCTGCGTGATAAACTTAGGAATGAGGATATCCGCAGTAGAACCAGAGTAACCGACATAGCCCAACGGATTAGTAAGCTGAAGTGGCAATGGGCCGGCCATATAGCTCGAAGAACCGACAACCGATGGGGAAGAAAGGTTCTCGAGTGGCAGCCTCGTACCGGTAGGCGAAGTGTAGGGCGTCCCCCCACGAGATAGAGTGACGACCTGGTAAGACATGCAGGAAGTCGATAGATGCAGGTGGCTCAGGACCGTGATTTGTGGCATTCTTTGGGGGAGGCCTATGTTCAGCAGTGGACTTGTGAAGGGCTGTAATGATGATGATGATGATGAAGTTTTAGTTATTTGAGTGCAGTCAAGTTCTACAAAGTACCAGAATGGTTGAGATTTATATATATAGCGGCGCACTCTCAGAATATGGAACTAAATTTGAATGCCTTAGCAACTTCTTAATTCAGCCATATATATAGGGCTCTCCTTTAACTAGTCTAAACGTTAAATAAATATAAATGTCACGCCTTAAACGTTAATCATTAAACGTCGTAATTTGGTTTGGGCATTTATATGAATGCCGGCGTTAAATTAACTGGTCACGTGGTAGAGTCATACTTATTTATCTTCACGCACAATCCCTAACGGGGTAGCCAGAGAGAACAGATCGCCAAGTGTCACGATCCTTACAGACCTCTTTCGCTTCTTTCAGATTCATTATCTTCTTCATGCATGCACGTCTAGGTATCCGAGTACTTTTGACCCTACCCTCTTCGAGCAATTTGCTCACATGGTCTTCGAAAGTTAGTCTCGGTCTACCTCGACACCTTTTAATATTAACTTTCGCGCTATATATTTTCTTCACCATTCGGTCTTCACTCATTCGCTCAACGTGCCCAAACCACCGAAGCACGCCCTTATCAATTTTTGTGATAAGGTCATCTTTCAAACCTGCCATATTGCGAATCTCTTCGTTTCGCTTTCGGTCGGCCATGGTAACGCCGCACATTTTACGAAGAGATCGCATCTCCACTGCATTCAACTTACTTTTATGCTTCTTCTGGCATACCCAGGTTTCGCTGCCATATAACAAAGTCGGTACCAACACTGCGTTATGTATTGCAAGGCGTGCACTCTTCGCTACGCCTTGCCTTTTGACTAACGCAGTCAGGGCACCATTGACTTTGTAGAGTAGAGTCATGCTGCAACTATATTAGTAGTTTAGTTGTAGCACGAATGGGTCGGTCCGACCGGGGAAGAACCACACTCTCACAGAATACCAGTGTAAAATAGCAGCTTAACACTGCTGTGTATCGTATGGTACGCTACTACACGGCGGAACGTTCATTTTTTTATAGGATAGGGTTGGCAAACGAGCACACAGTCCACCTGATGGTAAGTGAATGCTGTGACACATAGACATCTACATTTATCCTCAATTAAGACTTAAAATGCAAATGCATTGTCACCCCTGAAGACTGAGATGGAATGCGTCGTTTCCAGTAAAAAGGGTCTCCGGTTCTCTACACTCACCATCCGAAACACAGCAGCATTAAGCAGCTATTTTACGCTGGTATTCTGTGAGATCGTGGTCCTTCCACAGTTGAGCCGACCCATTCGTGCTACAACCATACAGCTGTAACATGCCATCTTAATCCTCAGATTTGACAAAATATCTGTAGCATTTTTTGTTTAAAGTTGGTGACAGTCGTCCATGAACCGCAGTAACCACTTACCATCATGCGAACTTTTGGTTACTTACTTGGGACAGGCGCATGTAACGTTGGTTTCTCTCGGCTCGAAGCTGCAACACGATCTCGATCCACCGGACCTCGACCGCGAACGCGATCTAGTCGTTGAAAGCGGGCGTCTGTGATTGTGGCATTTGGCTCTGAAAAAGGTTGTCTATATTTTCCCCAGTTTACAAACAGTCGATAAATCATCATCATCATTACAGCCCTTCAACAAGTCCAATGTTTAACATAAGCCTACCAAGGAATGCCACAAAGCACGGTCCTGAACCACCTGCATCCATCGACTTCATACATGTCTTACCAGGTCGTCACTCCATCTAGTGGGGACATTTTTTTTATAGGAGAGGGGGCAAACGAGCATGCGGCTCACCTGATGGTAAGTGACTACCGCCGCCCATGAACAACTGCAACACCAGGGGAATCGCAGATGCGTTGCCGGCCTTTTAAAAAGGAGTACGCTCTTTTCTTGAAGGTCCCTAAGTCGTATCGGTCCGGAAAAATCGCTGATGGTAATCGATTCCACAAGGAGGTCGTGCGAGGAAGAAAACATCTTCTAAATCGCACAGTGGTGGACCGCCAATCATCCAGATGGTGTGGATGGTATCGGGAGTTCTGCCGCGATGTGCGTTCGTGAAATTTGGCGGCTGGGATTAATCCGAACAATTCCTCAGAGCACTCCCCGTGGTAGATGCGAAAGAAAATGCAAAGGGATGCAACATCTCTTCGCAGTGCCAATGAATCGAGCCGATCGGAAAGGGCTCGGTCGTCGACAATTCGAGCCGCTCTGCGTTGGATGCGGTCAAGTGGAAGGAGCTGGCACTGGGGAGTCCCTGCCCAGAGATGGGAACAGTATTCCATGTGAGGCCGAACTTGCGCCTTGTAAAGTAGCAGGCGGTGTGCCGGCATGAAATACTGTCCCGCTCTGCTGAGCACGCCAAGCTTTTTAGAGGCCAATTTGGCCTTCCCTTCCAAGTGACCACGAAACTGCACGTCACTCGATATGTCGACTCCGAGGATACCGATACTGGCTGAGGCAAGAAGGGGAGTGCCTTGAAACTGAGGAGATACGACAAAGGGGTTCTTTTTAGCGGTAAAGGCGCAAACTTCTGTCTTCTGAGGATTAAACTGGACTAAATTTAGTCGACCCCAATCCGAGACTTTGTTCAGCAAAGACTGGACTTCAGACACAAGTTTGTTCCGGTACTCGGCGACGTTTTCCCGAGAAATATTGCCACGGCCGGTGTATAGAGCATCACCAGTGCTGTCATCCGCATAGCAATGAATGTTACCAGTTAGCAATATATCATTAATATGCAGAAGAAACAGCGTTGGTGATAGCACACAGCCTTGTGGAACACCAGCGTTAATAGGCTTGTAGTCGGAGCATGCACCGTCTACAACGACCTTGTTGCTCCGATCTGCAAGGAACTTCGAAAGAAGCGCTTTGTGCCAAACCCGATCGAAGGCCTTCGCAATGTCCAAACTAACGGCCAACGCCTCCTCCTTGGACTCTACTGCCTCCGCCCATCTATGGGTCAGGTAGACCAGAAGATCACCAGCTGATCGACCCCGACGAAAACCGTATTGGCGGTCACTAATCAGCTGGTGATCCTCAAGGTACCGCATGAGCTGGCAGTTAATAATGGATTCCATTATTTTGGAGAACAAGGAGGTGATCGCGATAGGCCTATAGTTGGACGGGTCTGAGCGGTCGCCTTTTTTAGGGATCGGGTGGACAAAAGCTGTCTTCCATGAATTCGGGAGTACGTCTTGGGAGTAGGAGTACCGGAAATAAATGCGTTAGGACCGGTGCCAACTCCGGAGCACACGTCCTCAGCACAATTGGGGGGATTCCGTCAGGCCCACTCGACTTCTGGATGTCCTGGGAGGGGAGTGCTTTGCGAACCGAGCGCTGTGAGAACAGCACATCCGGCATGGAGCACTCACACCGCGGGATGGTCGGCGGTGTTTTCCCCCGGCATCAAGAGTCGAGTTGGACGCAAGAAGGGAGCCTAAAAGGTCGGCTTTGTCTTTTGCGTCATGGGCCAATGAGTCGTCCTCCTTGTGCAGAGATGGTAGTGATGGCTTACAGAAATTCCCTTGGACAGCCTTGGCGAGAGACCAGAATGCACGGGTTCCCGAAGGAAGGCGAACTAGTTTCTCGCCAATTCTGCCTATGTGCTCTGACTTTGCCTTGGCAATAATGCTTTTGAAGGACCTGGAGGCGAAGTTATACTTCTTTTTAAGTGTGCTGGTGTTTACATCCCGAGTCGCCGAAGCCGCAGCCCAGGCTTGATAACACTCCTGCTAACTGCGTAATGCAGTCTTACAGGAGCGGCCAAACCAAGGCTGAGATCTGCCTCCGATGGGTACCACTGATGATGGAATAAATAGTTCCATTCCCTGTAGCACAACATCAGTGACAGAGTCAGCAACAGCGCTGGGATCATCCGGCGAGAAGCAAACCCGCCCCCATGGATAGGATGCAAAGAAAGACCGCATTCCGTCCCAATCCGCCGACCTGTAATGCCAAACATGGCGGCAACCTGCAGAACGCAACCGCGAGGGGAGCGTGAGTGGCACCACACTCCGGATCAGATAATGGTCCGAAGAGCCGTGAGGGGCATCGACGAAAACCTGATATCCGTCCGGATGAGAGGTCAGCAGAAGGTCCAACAGGGAAGGTGTATGATCCTCCACATCTGGAATCCGCGTAGGCGAAGTAACCAGTTGTGTCAGACCATATGCCAAAGCAAAGTCATAAACATATCTCCCCGCATGATCGTTTAAACGTGAACCGAGCCATTCGACGTGGTGGGCGTTAAAATCGCCAAGGATCACGATCTCTGCGGATGGGACCTGTTGTAGCAAGGAATCTGTAGCCATTTGGACGTGGTCGATGAGTCGGTCTGTTTCGGCATTACCGCTATGGGAACTATAGAGGCACCCGTAGACGCGCGGATGGTCGTCGCTGTCCACGCGTAGCCAAAGGATGGACAGGTCCGAACCTTCAAGACTGCCGAGACGTCGAGAACATATGTCCTCTCTGACATACACGCAAACTCCAGCCCGAGGCACAGAGGAGTGCTCCAATTTGTACCCCGGGTAGGAGAGATACGAAATATCAGCCGGAGAGGAAACCTGCGTCTCGGTCAGAAAGAGCAAGGCCGGCTTCGCCGTCTCGAGATGGTAGTGGACGGCGTTTAGGTTCAAGTGAAGTCCCCTGATGTTGCATGTTGCAGAAATTCACGGATAGCGTGGCAGGGGTCGCCTTGGTATTATTGCTCAGTTTGCCCCGAGCAGTTATGTTTTGAGCGGAATTTTGCCCCCCCCCCCCCCCCAGAAATCGCGGGGCAGCCTGAGCACCCACGCTCAGGAGTGGAATAACATGATCGTGGATGCTCAGCGAGGGATTCTCCAGGGGTGCTGGTACCCTCCTGGGGTAGTGTATCGTGTAATTCCGCTACCATGTTGATGGGGGGGGGGGGGGGGGGGTAATCGGGCCTCCAGCCACCTGCACTCACCAGACGAAACGCAGAAGCAGAGCTTCTACTTCACGCCGGTATTCTGTGAGGTCGTGGTACCAAGCCGTCTCGAGCCGGCCCATACGTGCAACAGCAAAAACTGCTGCGTGGCTCTACCACCGTTAAGACAGAACATGCCCACTTCATCAACCGGTACGATAGACAGATGCTAGAAATAGATCTGTTCCAAGCTTAAGTTCTAGCCGTGATAGCCACATTGGGCTGATCAGCAGTCATAGTATGAAATGCGTTGAATAATACTGCCCCTCGTAACTAATATCTCAATCCATCCATTCCTAACAGCCTATCAAAGTTCACTGCTGAACGTACGCCTCCCCCGTAGATTGCCTCGTTGAGGACATATTTGCTATAGTTGCCACGCTTGGCAGGCGGGTAAGCAACAGCAGTATTTCATTATAATTAATTTACCTTCCTATCCAGAATTTGCTATTGCCTATCTCTCGTTTCAGTTCGCCTCTTACTCGGATATTCTTGTACCGCCACTACATGGTGGACTGATATGTCAATGTTTTTATCTAACATATTAAAAAAAAAGCTTATCTTGCCATCGCTAGGAGGTTTGCCATTTTGATCAGCTCAATTTTGCGATTAGATAAATTGCTACATTAGTAAATAGCATTAATATGTGATTATAAATTAAATTCTTTTAGTTTCTTTTGTGGTATGACCAGTAAACCATCCGTAGCCATCTTTGTTTGAACAGAGACGGCTACAGATGCTTTGTCTCTGTTGACTGCAGATGTCCATGGACTGGAGTAGTTACTCGCCTTCAGGTGGACAGAAGTTTGCTAGTCACTACAGTTTTATAAAAAAAAAATTGCATGTGGATAAACATCCACACCCAGAACAGCTCCTTTTATGGTATAAAACACTTATTAAGAGCTGGGTTCGAATCCACAGCCCGTATAGTCGCATTAAAATGCTTACTAAGGGTACGTTCAGATGACAAGCTCTCAACGCGCGTTGAACGCGCGTAAAATTTTTGTATAGTATTCACATGGCGCGCGCTTGTCAGGCGTTGCATGCGCGTTGCCGCAGCCGCCCTGGATATATCCCATATCGCAGGACGTTTCACTATTTCATCTATAAATAATTCGGTATTAAAAGCTTCCGTTTCCATTTCGGACGATTTGTGTATGAACTGAGCGAACCCTAAAATACGTCTATATGCATCAAAAGCGCGCGCTCAACTGAACGGTAGCATAGAAAACCAATGAACTCAAAGCGCGCGTTGACAACAGTCGAGCGCTAGCGCAGCGTTCAACGCGCACTTTATTAAACCGTCCGTTAGCATGTGTACGGCCTGTATAAAACTGATGTAGTTGTAAACGCGCGTTAACAAAACGCACATTGAGCGCTTGTCATCTGAACCTACACTTAATCGTTAAATATTTATATCGAAAGCTAAAAGTTACGCTCAGGTGTTTGTTTACTTGTAGAGGCGTTAAGCTTGCTTTTCACTATGGGATATAATATATATATTATATCCCGCGATTGGCTTTCACACTGTGTGACATATCTTTTAACCAGTGTGCGTTCGTCATTGGATTACATTTACACCACACTCGTCGTTTACAAACATAATTTAAAATTAAAAATTTTGTACAGGCGACTTCAACATAAATTATTAAGAATAACTCAAAAACTATTGGTCTGACCTTGATCAAATTCATATGGGACCACACGAGATGTACCAGCTTTCAAATGAAAAAAGAATCATCAAAATCGGTTCACCCAGTAAAAAGTTATGAGGTAACACACATAAAAAAGCATATAGTCGAATTGAGTACCGTCTCCTTTTTGAAGTCGGCAGAAAATTGTCTTTCATACAAAATGGATATTGTTTTGCTTGATAATCTCGACAGTTCATCAGAGGGAGATGATGCAGAATTCGGTTTATGAGTGTTACTTTTACACTACGCAAAAGTTCATTCGGGTAATGACAGACACGAAATTGAGGACGTAGCGGCGACGCGGAACTGTATGCGGGGTACAGAGGGGCGAAATATAAATGAAAATATCGCTCGGTCGATCGAAAAAATATTTATAGTATGACATGTAATATATATTACATCTCAATGTAAACGATTCCATTAAAAAGTACGGTGAGCGATATTAATTTATATCTCGAGATATAATATATATTAAATTACATTATAATATCCCATAGTGAAAAGCGGGCTTTAAATCTGAGAGGAGAGTGGATTGTTTAGTTTTACGATCATAATGCATCGCCCAAATGAAGCTTTACCTGTGATAAAGAGGTGTGTGACAGACCGGCTTCTGCCTGTAGCCGTCTGAATCGGGCATCGGTACGCACTGACATTTGGTGGCCTTGATTAATGTGTTATTAGATTTACTCCAAATTTCGTCTATCCTTACTTTAGTCGCTACTTCAATTTTGGGCGACAGGATACCCTGTAAAACGAATTACTGGTAACTTACTAATATTATTATTATAATATGTAAGAAATTGATTCTTCTTCATTTTCTTAATTCCGAAATAAGGATGACTAACGAGTCCACCTGATGGTAAGTGGATACTGTGGCCAATACAGATGCGTGGTCATCCCTGAGAACTAAGATGGAATGCCTTTTTCCCAGTTAAAAAGTTCTCCGGTCCTCTGCATTCAGCATACGAAACACGGCAGCATGTTAAGCCTACGCCGGTAGAGCCAACCTAATCGTACTACAACCGTAATATGGCTGCAACATGGCTCTACCATGTAGAAAACTTGTGACGGTGTTGAAGAATCCATAACCGCGTCCCGTTCCGTAAGGTACCTGAACCTACCTAGGTTAAATTGTCAGATATGCAAGACATCTGGTACTGCAAGTGCCAAGCGTTACGATTAAGGCCATTCCTCTCTACGACGGGAGCGGCCCTTGGTCAGCAGAATTACTTGCCCTGATAATGAAGAGAGTGAAAGATAGGTACTATAATTTTATTTATCACTTATCATTTTATACGTATCACGTCACGTATCAATTATCAGTCAGTTTTGTTTAGTTTTGAATGATTTTTGGAAAACAGTCCGTCACTGGAGCCACGTCTCTTAATCTTTAGGCTGCACCAAATACAGGATAGGTTGGTATTAAATGTAAAATATCCAGATAAGCGGCCGGAATTAGCATTAAACGTATATATGAAGCGTTTGGTATTGCCAAAGCGAGGATATTAAGGAGAATGCTTCTCTATATTGCTTAAAGTTAATTGAATTTTAAAATTGATGTAGGTATTTAATAAAACATAATAAGTGAATTATAATTAAAACGACAAATTATTATGGAATCCATATATTGCTGTTCAGGATTCGTTGGCGTGGAGCATCTTGGCAGATAAATTAGTTGAATGCAAACAAACATAGAGATCTAATAGATATTTGCACGAAATTTAAGAGTCTGAAAAAAAAACAGATGAACCTTCTAAAAAAAATAAGAATAGAACTTCATGAATGCTATAACCGTAATAATGCTATGTAATTACTGGGAAATCCTTAGACCTCCGCATGAGCAAATCGACGCCCTCACTGGAGCACATATTAGGCGGAAACAAGACATCGTTGAGCGCGCCTAAATACTGCGCCAATATCACGCATTCGCTAGAAACGCAGTCGTCACTCCACTGCACCAGCTCACAGTATATTGTTTCGTCTTCTGCAACATTATTTTAAAATGTATATAACTATCATTCACCAAACATGTCATTTGTTAAACATGGAGAGATGGTAATAGATAATCCATTAAAATTTAAAAAATCTCGTAGTCGTTGATGCAACACAAAATGGCGGTAAAACCATAAATAGTGATGATGGTAATATTGTTTCTTCTGACTAATCTAGACCACATAGATTTTGGTTTTGGACTAATAAGTGCACAGCCAATATTCGCGCACAGACAGTACTGCACCAAATCACTAGTCTGTGGAATTTTGGATTCAGACTTTTTCAATTGATTTTTCGCCATCAGTCAGTCGTTAGAGCCTCGTTCATTAATCAGCAGATTAACGGCATGGAAGTGAGGTTGGCATTTATGGAAAAAAGAAGGATATTACCCCTTAGGTCCGTATTTTTTTTATAGGATAGGGTGAAAAACGAGCATAGTCCACCTGATGGTAAGTGGTTGCTGTGGCCCATAGACATCTACATCTATCCTCGTTTGCGAATCAAAATGCAGATGCGTTGTCACCCGTGAGGACTAAGATGGAATGCCTCTTTTCCAGTAAAAAAAGGTCTCCGGTTATCTACACTCACCATACGAAACACAGCAGTGTTAAGCTGCTATTTTACGCTGGCATTCTGTGAGAGCGTGGTCCTTCCCCGGTCGAGCCGACCCATTCGTGCTACAACTATACTTACTAGTATAGCTGTAACATGGCTCTACCACGTAAAAATATACATAATATAAATAATATTTGATATAAAATTAGGGTGAAAAACAAAATCATAGTCCACATGTTGGTAAGTAGCTACTACAGCCTATGGATATCTGCAACCAACTTCAAACAAATAAGGTTACAGATGCGTTGTCACCTCTGATGTCTAAGATGGAACGTTTCATCTGTATAACCTTTAGACCAGAAAACAGCAGTGCCCGTACTGCTATTTTGAGAGAAAATGGTACATACCACGCTAGGCAAAAAAGGAATCTTACCACAAAATAAAATATAGTATATACTATGCTACATAAATGAAAATTGATGTTTGAAATGAAATTAACATACTAACTCAACAAACAACAGATGTTGTTAAGAGCACAAGTCTCCTGGAACCGCTTCCGAAAGTAGAACACGTCTTTGAACTGAAGAGGGAAAACGGGTGGTAGCATACATGTCTGGTAACTTGTGCCAAGTGCATACACAGTAAGTGAAACACGGCCAGCCTGACATAACCAAACTCCTGGACATGACACCTAAGACAAAAACCCACTAATATATTATTTCTATACTAACATATTTTTATGATTTTTTTTTTATTAGTAATCAAAATCAATGTTAAATTATTGTTATTGAAAATTGGCCTTTAGAGTCAAGAAAGCTATACAATTGTTACAACAACTGCGTATGCCAAGGGGCCTTGTGAGAAACAGTTAATATATTCACTTACTTACCAACCTGTGTTGAATGTATAGGCTAATGTTTCGAGAAATGCGTCATTTGCAACATTCTTGGAAGGGCTTATTTCCAATAATGGATAAAATATAGAAACCTAAGCCAATTAGGTGTTGGGAACACTATACTTAAGCTTGTTATTGAGTATGTTTACCTGTGACAAATTGTTTGACTAGGTAAGTCCAACTTGGACCAAGAGTTAATTATACATATTACATGTTTTCTCATAACATATTCTTGAAAACTTAAAAACTAGTGCACAACCGGTGCATGTTGCCATCTGCATTAGAGACCTAAAGGTTGCTGAGTGAACTATAGAGAGGGCTATGCTTGGAGTTACTCTGCATGTTAAACTTCATAATAAAGATAACTGCAGTAGAACCAGCAAAACAGTAAGCTGAAGTGGTAGTGCACCGGCAATATAGCTCAAATAACTGACAATTGACGGGGAAGAAAGGTTCTCTCTCAGTGGCAGCCTTGTACCAGTAAGCGAAGTGTAGGCCCCACTAGATGGAGTGACAACCTATTAAAATATGCAGGTAGTTAATGAATGCATGTGGCTCAAGACCATGTTTTGGGGCATTCCTTGAGGGCTATGTTCAGAAAAGAACTTGTGAATGTAGTAGGCGGTAATGTTGATGATAATTATTGATAATGAATGATGATTATAATGATGAGAAATTAAACCTTGCTTTTGGGTTCCTCTAAATTTGTCCATGAGTGTATGTAAGTTTACATATAAATTGTGTTATATTTAAGTTACACAAAACTTTCAATATACCCCACATAGTACATTTTTGATGGAATCCTTTTGATAATTTTATTATTTATTAATGAAATTAATATAAATTATTAATATAATATGAAAATTATATTTTTAAACTATTTTGTAAAGCCACGTAATTTTAAATGACTGTCAGTTGACAATTGAATGATAAGGAAAAAAATATTCTTCAGGGTTATTTTGTAGTATACGCCCAAATTTTCAGTGATGGTTTAGAATAAGTAATAATCGAATGGTGAAGAAAAATAATTAAAAGTAGAAGCCTTATTTACACATATTTTCAAAAATGGCAATAGCCGTACATAATTATTTATATATTTGAACTTAAATATAAAATTTGGACACTGTTTCAAAAATAGCCCTGTATATTAAACCATAAATTTGGCGATGAAAATAAAAATGTGACAAATCAAAGACGTATTAACAAAAGATTCTGATGATGATCTTTCTTTGACCAGGGACCACAAGGTGAAAGAAAAAACTGTGTCAATCTAACAATAAGTTATAATCACAATCTGAATAGAAGCTTTCATTAACAGTATTGTTTGTGTATTTATTGTAAAAGCTAGTAGGTACTTACTAACGTGATGTGCACTGTTGCACTGCCCATGTGATGAGAAAATAATAAAATGTGTTCTTTAAAACATTTAGGTAGGTAAAATATTTAAATCTTTCGTGGATCATATTTAAGTTCTTGGTTAGAAATCACTACAATATAAGGTATTTGCATAGCCAATGAGGACATAAATTTCAATAATGTTTTAAATACCAATGCGATAGCAAATACAAATACAGCCTTAGATGCATAAATTCATAACAGCGATGATAAGACTTTCCAAGAATTATCTCAAGATTTGAGAAAATATGGTTAAATACTGATTTTAAAAGTAAAGGTTTTTAGAAGTATCAAGAGTTCTTTTGGTAATAGGAAATGAACATGGACATAAATAGAGATGGAGTAGTGAAAAACTAACTAGGCATCATATTACTTCACGAAACATAAATTTCAATAGCAAAATTATAAGGCAGAAAAAAGTTTTAATTAATATTTTTAAAATATAAAAATAAGGGTTTAGACCTTGTTAATGAACATTTGGAGGAAAGCTCCCAAAACCGAATTTGAGGAGGGATATAAAATGGTCTATTACAGCGATCCTTAAAAAAACTATGGCTAGTCAAAGTTCCATTCCTGAACATAAAACAGGGATACAGGCATGAAAGAACTTTTTCCCTAGAAATAGGGATAGAAAAAACTAAACAATGTGATATATTATACACGCGTAATATATCAATTTTCTTAGATAAACAGGTGTAAGTCTGTGAAAATGCTCAAATTAATATGATATTTAAATTTTAAGACTAATTTATAATCTCAAGTTCCTAATACTTTATATAAGAAATAGTTTCAGGTTTTAAATAAAAATACTGGTATTTTAGCACAGTATACCTCTGCACCCCTGTGAAAGAACAACAAGTTCGCCGAATAGTGTAGGGTCCTGGGGTCAAGTATTATGAAATAAATTAAATTACCTTTTGAATATCAATTTCAACAGTTAACTCAATAATTTTTGGCATTATATAATGTCACTTTAAAGATTTACACTTCGTCAGTGAAAACATGCTTTTTGTTAAATTAAAAAGATTTAAACAGTAAATTTAAATGATTATTTATGTAAATACATGAAAATTCGTAAGGAGTAAGGATTGATTACAAACTTTATGACATTGACACTTGACAGGCTCCACACCACACCACGCAGTTGTCATGGTAACGGACGGTGTTAATTTCAGTATATAATAAACATAGTGGTTATATTCTCTTTGGTATATAAAAATTACTCTGTGCGTGTTAATAAAATGTTTTTATTGTTATTTCACAATAAATTGTAAACAAAGGTATTTTCCATAAAGCCTAGAATGATTTGTATTTTGTTCATAAAACATTCTTCAAAACATTGTTAGTCACATTGCGAAGTTCTTGGGAGATTTTGACGACAACTTAACCCAGAAGTTAGTTAAGGACGCAAATATCTCAAGAACCATGAGTGGATAAAAAACCTGAGATTTATGTCAACATCGAAGCACACGTTTTCACTAACGTTTTGTTACACGTTTTCACTAACGTTTTGTTACACGTTTTCACTAAAAGACCAATAGTTTACTTGAGCAAACATTTAATACACAAAGTCGCACCACTTTTACGTATCAAAATCATCATGAAACCATTATTCATAAGATTGGTCAAGTAATAGTTTTCCTGTTAAATTACCAGTGTAAAAAATAATCCCTTGGTTCTTTACGATTTTTCGTACTTGTTAAACTTAACAATAAATATAAAATTAAAAACTGGATGTGTAATGTAAAAGAAAATATGACTGCATTTAACACCAACTAAATAGTTTTATCTTTTACAACATAAAAGGTCGGCAAGATTTTATAGTCAAATAGATTAATATCAAAACTATATTCTAGTCATTCAAGTTTATATTCCTCATTAAAAGACTGGAATCTTGCATGGCGTAAGACCTTAGTTAAAAAGGGTTTTGGTGCGCCTAAATAATTCAAGAATTTCTTGGTTTACCAAATCATCGTATCACATAAACAGAAAATTCGCCGCTCATTTACAACAAATGCGAATAATTTCAACTTCCATAAGTTCATTTTGAACTAATAACTCAAACCTAAAACTTCATCTCTTCAATATTCAACATCTCATACTATCAGCCAACTTGTAAGATGTATATAAAAAATATGAATACATTTTGCACTCCATTGAAAATATCCAAAACGAACATAATGGGCATCCTTTTATCGATAGTTAGATTTGTGACATGTGTGTGTAGTATTCAGTAAATTTTAGAAAAATCTTGGCATATTGGATTTATTGAATAAATATTTTTATTAATGAAATAAAATGACATGGCTACGGCCTTATCTGTGATTGCAATATGAAAAAGAAAAGAAGACTAGACTGTAAGATTTTTTACTCTTTGCCTTTCCCCTTTTTAATAAAAGAAGCAAAAATGTGAAGGAAGGAAAATGAAACCATGAAATTAAAATTTCAAAAGTATTTTTGGCGGTAACTTGATCACCGGTGAATTGTAACTCTTTTATTATAATGATTTGGATAGGATTTTCATACATAAAAGTGCGTGCGTTTTTTGTATATCAAATGCCTGTGCATGTGAAGTTACAAGCGCATCGATAGTGGTATTAAACTCGAGGATTTTTATCCGCTTGGATGAGTTTGAGATACTATCGTCATTAACTGTCCACTGGGTATGATGTCGTCAAAATCTCCCAAAAACTTCACTATGGGATGCATCATTATATTGTCAAGAATTTAGTAAATAATATACACAACAGAAAACGCTCTATGGTTTAAGGCCTTTTCCCCATTTTAATCGGAAAATTGTAACAACAACAATATCAATAAACCTTCATGATCTATGGAAAGTGGAAACTTGTTAATGTTATGACATTTCAAGAGTTTTGGCGGGAACTTGACCGGCGGCGGTTTGCTGCTCCTGTATTATAGTTTAATTAATAGTTTGAAGTGGATTTTGATATGTAAAAGTGATGTAATTTTATGTATTAACTGTCTACGCCTGTGAACTATTAGTGGAGACGCTGAAACAAGTGCTCTGATGGTGATGTATTCTCAAGATAAGCTGTTTGTCTGCATAGGCGCCTTTAGATACCATCGCCAACTGTCAGCTGTCTGCTGGCTCAAGTTGCCGTCAAAATCTCCCAAGGGCTGCACAATGTGACGCATCAACATATTATGAAGCAGTGAACTACGAAGGATAATATAAAAAAGACAAGGCTGTATGACTTAGTTCCTTTGCCTGCTCTCTCGAGCGAATAATAAAAACAACTACAACAACAATATGACATTTCAAATTCTAATCAAATAAACATTCAAAAACCTTGAAAAAACTAGCAACTGTGAAAGGCAGTAAATACTTACTAACAAAGAGATTAAAATCATTGCATTTGAATTACTGAGCACTTTAAATTAATTAGATTACTCTTTTAGTTCATCATCATCAGCTCAGTTAAAAAAGTAACTTGGTTAAAATTCATATTAATCTAAGATATTGCAACTGTTTATTGTAAATTGTTTACATGCTCTTTCCTGTCATTTACAGGAGACTACCTGCTTATTTACCTGAAGCGTTCAAAATGCCCACTGTCGTACATTGGTTTCGCTTAGATTTAAGATTGCATGACAATCTTGCACTAAGAAATGCAATCAACGAAGTAAGAGATAATTATTATTATTGATTTCTATCTATCCATTTTGTTCTATTTATTTTATTTTTTGACTATAAAATGTGAAACTTTTTGATTTCAGGCGGAAAATCGTAAACATATTTTAAGACCAGTATATTTCTTGAATCCTGACAATATACATAATATAGGTAGTAATAGGTTGCGGTTTCTTATACAAAGCTTACAAGATTTAGATGCCAACTTACGTAAACTTAACACCCGCCTGTATATAATAAAGGGTACAGCTATTAATTGCTTACCAAAACTGTTTCAAAAGTGGCAAGTCAAATTCTTGACAGTGCAAGTTGATATTGACCCTGGCCTTGTAGAACAAGATGAAGCTATTGAGAAAATTGCTGAAGAAAATGATATTTTTATAGTCAAAAGGGTTCAACACACAGTCTATGATGTCCATAGTGTTCTAAAAAAGAATAATGGTAGTGTACCATTGACCTACCAAAAATTTCTTTCATTGGTACAGGATATGCAAGTTAAAGAAACAATAGATATTAATAAGCAAATATCGGAGTGCTGTAGGGCTGAAGATTATAATTCTGAGGAATATGATGTGCCAACATTAGAAGAAATTGGTGTTGATGTGTCAACTTTATCTGAATGTAAGTATCCAGGAGGGGAAACTGAAGCTTTAAAAAGACTTAATGTGTATATGTCAAGAAAGCAGTGGGTTTGTAAATTTGAAAAACCAAATTCATCACCAAACAGTATTGAACCTAGCACTACGGTCTTAAGTCCTTACATAAGTCATGGTTGCCTTTCATCAAAATTGTTTTATCACAAACTTAAAGAGGTTGAAAGTGGAATGCTTCACACACAACCACCTGTCTCACTTTTAGGACAATTGATGTGGAGAGAATTTTATTACACAGCAGGTGCAGGTACTGAAAACTTTGATAGAATGGTTGGTAATAAAATTTGTACACAAATACCTTGGGGTGAAAATACTGAACACCTAAAAGCTTGGGCTGAAGGGAGGACAGGCTATCCTTTTGTAGATGCTATTATGCGTTAGTTGAAGCAAGAAGGATGGATTCACCACTTGGCTCGACACATGGTTGCTTGTTTTTTAACAAGGGGAGACTTATGGATTTCTTGGGAAGAAGGAGCTAAAGTATTTGAAAATTACCTTCTTGACTATGACTGGTCATTAAATGCTGGTAATTGGATGTGGCTGTCTGCATCTGCTTTCTTTTATAAATATTTTAGAGTTTACAGCCCTGTTGCATTTGGCAAGAAAACCGATAAAGATGGCTTGTACATTAGAAAGTATGTTCCAGAGTTAAAAAAATATCCAAGTGATTATATTTATGAGCCATGGAAGGCACCTAAATCTATACAAACTAAAGCTGGGTGTATAGTAGGTATTGGGTATCCAAAACGTATTGTTGATCATGACAAAATTCATAAAGAAAATATACAAAAAATGTCCTTAGCCTATAAGAATAATAGAGAGAAGAAAGCTATGAAGAGACCAAGGTCATAAGTTAATAAGAGATATCAAGGTTATGAATAACTTCAGTGAGTGTAAATAAATGATAATTTGTTTGAGATTGATTCAATATTTTTAGAAAAATTCAAAAAATTCAGTTTTTTTTTATGGTTAAATTAACCATAAAAAAAACTAAAAATATGAGTATAGAAGTACTGATATAAAAACTAACAAGCCAGTCAGGCGTTTCAAGGTGTGTTCCCATGATCTATTATATGGAGGGAAGAAGTAAGGAGGACTATCTCTGTGTATGATAAAGTGTCAATTGAAATGCGTCAAATTAGGTTGGCGCTAGCAGCAGGATAAATAAAAGTAGAAAAATTATTTTGGACTATTTTAAAAAGTTTTATAACTTCACACTAAAAATTACTAAACATATTTGAAGTTCACAAAAATAAAATCACTCCACATTTTCTCACAGCAGTTGTTTTAGGTTATATTTAAAAAAATATTTTTGGACTACGGGAATAGTTGGATTTTTGTATACTGTAGTGTAGCTAAGGGTATGATTTCGATCTTGACAGTACGCAGCAGTGCTGCCACTGTGGTGCTGCACAGCAGTGCTGCCTGCCACACTGATTCCGAGCAAGGCAGGCAGACTGCCGCCAGCAGTATTGCCCTGTTCGTGGTGTTGCTTTATTGTGTATTCATTCAGTTGCTTTGAGTTGACACAATGTCGATTGATCACCAACTTTTATTTATATTGTTGGAAGAGGAAGAACTTGTTTTATTGAACTCCTTCGATATATCTTTCCATATATTGTCTTTAATTATTTTCAATACTAGTTCTGGCTGATATTGTTAAGGGCTGGATATAAAGTCACAAACTTAATTAATTGTTCCTCTTCTGAATCAGAGAAATTCATCTTTTTGTTGCAAATTTACTTGTCAACATTCACGTAGGTACTATCTCTGTGGCGACGGACACGTCACTACTGGTCTGTCGCGCCGGCGGGGCGACACTGCCGCGCAGCAGTGCAGCCGCTGCATTGCTGCCGCGGCATTGCTGCGAAGCTCGGAATGTAATCTCATATAAACCTATAGAGAATATATGGAGACCAGTAGTGCTTACGTCAGCACTGTTTCGGCAGCACTGCTACGTGCAGCGGAGCTCGGAATCATACCTTAACTAATAATAATATTTTTGGTGACTTGAACCAAAAATATTTTTTTAACTCTGCACTTCAATTCATCTACAACTGCTACATTCATACCATACCCTGTATCTACGCTAGCGCTATTCTGGAAGCTTTTTCATCTTGTCCACCATATGAGATAGTCCTCATTACCTCTACCCTCCATAAGCTATTAGCATATTATGACGAGTAATTGCATTATGTTGTGAATAAGTGTCATGAACTAACTTTTTCAGCTGCAACCGACTAACTCACTAACGAAACTAAATATTTGAGTAATTTTTTTGTTTAAAAATTTGAAATAATTATCAATTCATAAGGCTTTCCTTACGTGACTATAGCTCCTAAACATATTTTTTACCCTTAGATCTTACACTGTCTCACAAATTTGCTATGATCTGGATATTATACTTTTAAAAAATCATAGTTATTTTATAGATCTTATTCTGCGTATTCGATGATGTACGTACTTAAACTTATGAATACAAAAAAGTTAATAAAAAGCTAAAATTGAAATGACATCTTATAATTAAAATACTACAAGCAAAGAGATTTAAATATATAGGTATACTATAGAGCGGACATACAGCAGAACGTTTTCATACGAAAACTGAGCTCGCGCGTGAGTGACGCCCTCTAGCTAAACATAGCAAAACTATGCAGAATATTTATAAGAAAACATTTCAGCTATTCTCCAGTAGGTGACGCTACTAAATTAAGGATAATAAACCCGTTTTAGGAATATTACCGTTTCGACAAAGACATTTAAGTAATAGTAGTAATAGACCGGACATCAGCAACAAAATAGTTACCTCTTACTTATTTGTCCTATAGGATATATTTCGGATTTGTGTCATTTAGTTTTAGTGACGTCGTCAAAAGCTCAAATCGTATTCCTGTCCCAAATTAATAAATATTTTTAAAGAAAATATGCCCGATAGTGCATTAAGGTATTGTAAGTCCCGATATGTAGCAAAAGCTGAATGTAATTTCGGTTTATTATCGCAAGTATAATGTATATTTATCCCATAATTTTAAATTATATTATTTCTGGTAGATTGTTCTAGAACATTTATCATTGTAATAAGTGCCCTCTGTTATCTAGTAACACACCAAATGAGTTAGTAATTGACAACCTGTCAACATCATCATCATTCATCATTACAGCCTTTCATAAGTCCACTGCTCAACATAGGCCTCCGCCAAGGTATGTCACAAAGCACGGTCTTGAGCCACCTGCATCCATCGACTTCCAGCATGTCTTACCAGGTCGTCACTCCATCTCGTGGGGGGTCGCCCTACACTTCGCCTACCGGTACGAGGCTGCCACTCAAGAACCTTTCTTCCCCATCGGTTGTCGGTTCTTCGAGCTATATGGCCGGCCCACTGCCACTTCAGCTTACTAATCCGTTGGGCTATGTCGGTTATTCCACCATGGAGGACGTGTAATGCCACCATGGAGGACGGAATTAAAGAGCCTCTGAAGGACTTCCAGTACCGGTTTTCCACCCGCTTTCAGAAGCTCCGCTGTAATTCCATCCTCGTCTGGGGCCTTGTCGTTTTAAAGATGCTGGAGAGCCATTCTAATCTCGCTCAGACTGACGTCCGGGATATCTTCGGAATAGTGTCGGATAAGACTCGATCTTGGATCGTTACTCACACTTGCGTGTGGCTCCAACGATGACTTGTACAGCTGTCCATACGAGTAGAACCTCTCAATCTCACTTAAATTCTCAGGTGCCCCGGAAACGATGCTGCCACACTCGGTCTTCAGCTTTGACAGTTGGCTCTTTCTGGCAGACAGATCTCTGGCAAAGACTTTGGAGCCTTGCTCCCGCTCGATCGCTTCTTCAATACGAGCTGTATTGAAGTTGCGTAAGTCCCACCGCATGCATTTGGAGATCTGTCTGTTCAGTCGCCTGTATGCTGTCAAATCTGTTGAAGAATGTAGCTTCATCTCCCGTCTAACAGCCATGAGATTAAGAGTGTGATCGGAGAGTTTTTGTGTTCTTCTGCGGCGGGTCTTGCAAAAATTAGCTCTGACCGCATGGACAGTTTCCACGAGCTTATCATTCATATCGTCCACTTCATTGCAGTCTTCTAGGCACTGAAAACGGTTTTGTAACTCGAGCTGAAAGGTTTCGGGACTTTGGAACAGAGCACAAGGGGGACGGAGCGTTGACTTCATTAGACGTGACCTCTCCAACTTAACGTTTAGGTTCAGTGTGCCTCTAACCATTCGGTGATCGCTACCAGTTTTCACCCTCGCGATCACGGAGACATCACTGAACAGTTTTCGTCTGGTCGTCATAATGAAGTCAATCTCATTTTTTGTCGAACCGTCGGGGCTCGACCAGGTCCATTTCCTGTGGGGCCGCTTCTGGAAGAAAGAGTTCACCATAAAGAGTCCCTCTTTCTCCATGAAGTCGGCCAGCTGCTGGCCCCTTGGGTTCCGTTGCCCTATTCCGAATTTCTCTACTTTCAGCTCACCGTTCTCCCTTGTGCCTAGTTTTGCATTGAAGTAGCCCATTAACACCGTATATTGGGTTTTGGAGGAATGCATGGCTCTAGAGATATCCTCATACATTTCCTCCACCTCCTTATCGGGGTGTGCCGAGGTTGGTGCGTAAACCTGTATGACCTTCAGCGAATACCGTTTGGTGATTCTGATTATAAGGTACGCAACCCTCGTCGACACACTCCCGATCTTTACAACGTTGTTTACGAGAAACTTGTGGACGATAAATTCGACGCCTCCTTGGGATAGATAGTCGCCCTCCCGGTGATAGAGCAAGTTGCCGGATTCGAGGATTACCGTGTCCTCCCCCTCTCTTCGGACTTCGGATAATCCTATAATATGCCAGCGTAACTTGTCTATCTCTTCTTACAGCTCCACGATCTTCTCGTCAGTCCTCAGGGTGCGTGCGTTGTACGTTGCCAGGTCGAGTCGTCGAAGGTGGCAACCGAACCTCCACCGGAGATTCTTAGCACCCCCTGCCCCGCCGTTACCATGGTCACCACCGTAGCTAGGAATAGCGGGGCCGCCGGAGACTGGGGGCCGTATCCTTGTTACTCTCTTTATAGGGGGGTATTTGCCATAGTTGCCACGCTTGGCGAGCGGGTTGGCAACCGCAGTTTTTTTATTGTAATTTTGGCTATTATCAGGAAGATGCTGCTGCCCATCTGCCTGTTTCCCTTTGTCGCCTTTTACGACACCCACGGGAAGATATGGGGTAGTGGATATTCTTACACGGCGTATAGTCAACAAGACCTTAGATATTAAAATTTTAAAAAGAACCTTTTTAAATTTTTAATATAATTCTACAACACTAGGAGAACTGCAGATGCATTAGCATCCTTTTGAAAAGGTGTAAGCTGGTTTGTTGAAGCTCCCATAGTCCTATCGGTCCATAAAAATCGCCGATGGTTAAGCGATTCCTAAGAAAACTCCTATTAAATCGCACGGTAGTGCATACATTTTATAAGTTATCAACATGTTTTATGGCGATGTGTATTGGTGAAATTTGGTGGATGGAATTAATCAGAACAATTTCTCAGTGCACTCCCCGTGGTAAATACGATAGAAAATGCAAAGGGATGCAACGTCTCTACGCAGCGCCAGTGAATTGAGCCAATCAAAGACAACTCGGACGTTGTGGTCGAGCCGCTCTGTTCTCTATACGGTCAAGTGGAAGGAGCTCACTCTGGGGAGCCCCGGCCCAGAGATGAGAACAATATTCCATGTGAGGCCGAACCTGCGCTTGTGAAGTTGCAAACGGTGTGCAAGCATGAAATACTATCCCGCTCTACTGCGTACCCCATGCTTTTTAGAAGCCAATTTAGTTTTCTCTTCCAAGT